TAGCAAGAGGGGGGCTAGTCACGGAAACGACACGTGGCAGAACCAGACGGGCTGATCGGGCCGACAGACCCTAGCGGGCGGGTCGGGAAATCGGCCCCAGGCTGCCAGGTCGAGCAGGCGGGTTGCTGAAGCGTGAGTCCTGTATGAATCGTGAAGAAATCTCGACCGATAACCAACCGAGAGAAAAGCCAAAGCGAGAGCGTAATTCTTGAGTGTCGAGGGCGCGGCGTTGGATGAAATTGCGAGGAAATGCTACGAGAACGTGCTTCCTGACTAAATTGTAAGTAGGTCCCGCGCGAAAGCGCGATTTCTCAATAATTTGTAAAGAAATATCAGTCGGGAGCCACTGTTGTGGTAAGCTAAGGGCCAGGGGGTCAGTTTGAGCAGGAAGACTTCCCCTGATAAAGCAGAGAGTGCGAGCCCCGAGGGGGGCACCTCAATTGAAAAAAACATAATGTGCACCGGAGGGGTGGATCAACACGAATAACTAATCAAGAATGAGAGTTCAACAGCAACAACAACAATCATGTTAAAACTGTTCGCTCCTACCTGCTCGCGTGCCATTTCATACGTATTCCCCAGACCATCGATACCCGCCCTTTTCGTTTTCGATCGTGCCCCTTTTGGGGCATGTCTTCTTTGCCTGCCACGTGAATTTGGCGCAGCCCTTGAAAGAGGAGGAGAGAGGACGGATGGAAGGAAGGGACACGAGTGAGGGAGAAGGATGGAGCACGAGAGAGATCAGCAAGAGGGGGGCGAGGAGCAGGAAACACGTGGCAAAACCAGACGGGCAGATAGATAGGGCGGGTAGACCGTAACGGGCGGGTCGGGAAAGCGGACTCCGGCGGCGGCCAGGTGAGCAGTCGTGTTGCGGAAGCGTGTGTCTTGTATGAATCGCGAGGAAGTCTCAACCGAGAGCACGATTCCCAAATAAATCGTGAGAAAGGCCAGTGCGAGAGCGTGACTCCTAAGTGTCGAAGGCGTGGCGTTGGAATAGATTGCGAGAAAGTGCTACGCGAGAGCGCGAATTCCAAATACACAATGAGGAGATATCAAGCGGGAGCCGTCATTCTTGTTCGGGGCCAACAACCCAATCTGAGGAGGAAGACTTCCCCTTGTAAAAAAAACAAGGTGCGAGCCCCGGGAGGAACACTTCAATTGAAAAGCACAAGGTGCACCAGGCAGGGGGCAGAAACAATAAAAATTGTCCAATAATGAAACGCTCAACATCGAGATTCTGGGTCATGGAATCCCACTTCAGCCATGAAGTCCCACTTCAACCACTCACCCAGGGACAATGAATGGCCATTCGGCCCCCTTATTCCGATGATAACATGGGTGTTCGCACAAAGAGTACTGATTATAATGCGGCATGGAGGCGCGCTGCGTTCTCGAATGTTGCCACATCTGGTGGGGCGTGGGCCAGGAGAGAGGGAGGAGTACACGTCGGTGGGAAGAAGTAGGCAAAAACATTAAGTAGGAAGGCGGATAACGTAGATTTGGGCTCAAGCCCTCAATAAGCAAACACAGCCAAAGCAAATCGGTTCTTGAAGTAGGAAAGCGACTGAATCAGATTGGGATCCGGAAATCCAAAAATACCTAGATTTAACTACCTGCGCGTTGAGGGCCCGAAGGGGAAGGATCGGGAGTTGCCCCCAACTCTTCTCGCGCCCTTCCGGGGCCTCTGGGGCACTCTGGGCCTTGTGAGGGCTGTTCTGGCGACCACCTGTCGGCTACACGCAAGATCTGGCGACTACCTGTCGGCTACACGCAAGAGTGACCCTGGACAAGAGTGACCTTGAATGCGCGGCTTCAGGGGGACGCGGGGGGGCCCAACCCGAGCGCGCAAGCCCCTGCTATCTCATCGCGTCCAGCCATCTGGGGACCCCGGTATGCCCGCACCAAAGATCACTTCGGCGACAAATCACTCTAACGTGTAATCGAGCCATCCGGGACTTCCGGAAAATCCTGGGGACACTCTGGGCCAGGGAAACCCTTGGGAGGGTACACCTGTGTCGAGGATCGCGGGCCCAGGTCTCGGAGCGTCCGTGACCATCATTGCGCCTCTGGTGACCTATGAAGGCCTCGCTGGTGCTCTCCCACATCTACGGGGACGAAACATGACATAAGCGTAACGACTCTGAGGTCCGCCGCCAGGGGGGTCCAGCGCCCATCCGAAAAATCCGCGCGGACCTCCGAGTTTTGATGTTTGTATCAATATTCGTTCCCCTAACATCCCTGCCTCAACCCGCCGTCCCGTGCCACCCCCTCCGCTGCTGCCCCCCCCTCTCTCCCAGCACCGTTCCCCCCCCCTCGGCCGTGTGGCCGCCCCCCGCCCGGGGCCCCCGTCCAGGCCAGCGGGTAACACATGTTCGCCGCCCTGGCCTGCATCTACCTGCAACACATCCTCCCCCCCGGCCTGAAACTGCAGCACAGCATCCCCCATTTGCTTACAACTGCCAGCAGCTTGTCCTCACTCACTGGCCCAAAGCTGCCTGCAGCCTGCCCTCACCATATGGCCTGGAACTGCAAGGGAAAACTGTATTCCTTCCTGGTTTGCCCACGGATCATGTTCACCCCCTGCCCTAAACAAAAACAACAGCAATCCTCAAACCCCATGTCTCCAATTGCCAACCACATGTATTGCCCCCTGGCCATGTATGGCAAACAAGCGATGCCCCCCACTGGCTTGAATCTGCGCAACAACATATTATCATTATCCCCTGGCCTGACACTGCAAGCAACCGGCCTAAGGCCTAACACCGCCAACAACAAATGCTTACGTACCACCCTTGCCAACAAGAACAACTGCTAGCTTACACGTCCTCACTCCCAGCTTCCTAAAACAACTAGATGGCCTTTCCTCCCTCAGCAGTGGAGTGCAAGATGTTTCTGCCATGTCTCGGGCCAGGGCTGCAGTGGAGAACAGAAGGAGGGAGGGCAGGAACCAACAGGGCACAAACGCGCACGCGCGCGACGTCTCGACATTAAGTACGCACCCACATGCCTCTGGACGGCAAAGACATACGAACGTCCCAAAAGAAAGCGAACCTCCGTACAACGTCGTGCATGCTTCCTTGCGTTCCAATAAACTCTTCCGAACAAGCCGCGGGCAATCTGGGACCAGACCGTGGGAAGACACCCGCGGCAGACCCTGACATCCGCCGATATGTTGTTGTTCAATCCACCGCCCCGAATGTCTCGACCTCTTCATCATGGGATAATATTTCCCCCAGTCAAATGCTTGATGGCCCAGGGGCCAGAACACGGCCCCGAAGGCTGATACATATATACATATATAGATGCACATATATACATACATACATACATACATACAAACATACATACATACATACATACATACATACATACATACATACATGCATGCATGCATGCATACATGCATACATGCATACATGCATACATGCATACATGCATACATGCATACATGCATACATGCATACATACATACATACATACAAACATACATATACATACCTATACATACATATACATACATATACATACATATGCATACATATACATACACATACATACATATACATATACATATACATATACATACATACATACATACATACATACATACATACATGCATGCATGCATATATACATACATACAGACAAACATACATACATACATACATACATACATACACACACGGCCCGCCCCCCCCCAGCACCCATTCTACGCCTTCCTCCTTTTCCACGAGGCTGGAGTCGTGCCGTTCCCATCCTGTCTCCCTTCCCTCTCGGCGCCAACTTCTTCTTCGCTGTTCACCCGCATCCGCCAGCAGCGCATTTTCAACACGCGCCAGCGCGACAGATGCCAGCGTCTGCTTCCTCCACATAGAGGACAACAAGCGCGTGAGCCATCCTGTAGACGAGGAGCCAGCACACCCTATGATTTCATTGGGAATCATGGGAATTCTGGGATGCAAACCAACGAACACCTGTGATTTCACTGGGATTCCTGGGATTCTTGGGGTTAAAAGACGTGAAGCAAAACCTACCTTGGGATCCCAGGAACCCCACTGAAATCATAGGGTTCGCGACGCTGGTGATGCGAAACCATATGGTTTCATTTGGATTCCTGGGAGTTCTGGGATGCAAATCAACAAGACCCTGCGATTGCTCTGGGGTTCCTGGGATTCCTCAACACCTCGCGGATCGCCTCCGTATCGTTGCGGGAGCCCTCGAGCACGAAGTCGTCGCCGTGGTGGAAGAAGCCCACCTGCTTGTTCCTTACCTAGGCTCTGCCTAGAAGGGTTCTTACCCTCTGTGCTTAAAGGGCCGGGCAGTGCTACCCGCCCCGGGCGGTTCCCCCAGTATCCGCCCCGCGGTTCCCCCGGTTGCGTCCCTTTAGCTTAGCGTTGCTTATCTCATCTTAGGTTAGTTTATTTCATCTTAGCTTAGATTAGCTTCATCTTAGCTCAGGTTTATCTTAGCTTAGCTTACCTTCATCTTAGCTTCGCTGAGCTTTAGCATAGCAGAGCACAGCATAGCATAGCGTAGCATAGCATAGGGCAGCACAGCATATCATAGCATAGCCCAGCATAGCATATCATAGCGCAGCATAGCATAGCATAGCATAGCGCAGCACAGCACAGCACAGCATAGCACAGCGCAGCATAACATAGCATAGCATAGCATAGCATAGCATAGCTTAGCATAGCATCGCATAGCATAGCTTAGCATAGCACAGCGCAGCATAGCATAGCATAGCATAGCGCAGCATAGCATGGCATAGCATAGCATAGCATAGCATAGCATAGCATAGCTTAGCATAGCATCGCATAGCATAGCTTAGCATAGCACAGCGCAGCATAGCATAGCATAGCGCAGCATAGCATGGCATAGCATAGCATAGCATAGCATAGCATAGCATAGCAACTAATGCTGCTTTCCTAGGGGCTCCAACTTCTAGGTAGGGTCGCACTGGAGTAATCCTTGTGGTAATACACGCACGGGGAGAAGGCCGACTGGTCGCAGCTGGTGCCGACGACTGTCTCGGAGGTCGTCAGCTCGAAGTTCTGGCCGGCGTCACGCGTCCCGTAGAGAGCCATCCTCAAGAGCCCGCACTTGCCTGCCTTCTGCGACATCGGGTCCTCATCTGGGAGCTTGATGTAGAGTGTCTTCTTGAGCTTACAGTGCGGGTGAGCCCCCGAGATGTCCAGGAAGCGCAGGACGCGACCCTCGGCCGGGCCGCTCGACATCACCAAGCTACACACGAGCCGGAGGCACTCCAGCGGTGGCGTCGCTGCAAACACTGCGCCGACGTCATCCCCAGCGATGGTGCTCTGCGCCTTAGTCTCCTGCACGACGAGACGCGACCTGTAATCGGGCCAGCTCGAGTCACCCTTGTCGATGTCAACCCAGCGCACACTGAGAGACTTGCGGCCGAGCTCGCGGTAGCAGTCCTCGTCACTCGCGTAGCTTCACACCCCGAGCTGGGCCATGAAATCCACCTCCGATCGCCTCGCTGCCTTGACCTTCTCGGCGTCCAGCGGCACCCCCGTGAGATCATTATAGAACTCGGTCTTCAAGGTGTCGCGCCAGTGCCCGGTGAAGTCCTTCAAGCTGATCTCTTCGTCGTCCACGTTCGGCCCCGCATCGAGGGCCGATAGAGTGAACACCTTCTTGTTCGAGAGGTGCTGGCGGAGACCACGTAGCATGGCTCGGAAGAGCTTCGTCGGGTACCTCTCCGCCACACGCATGTTCCGGCCAACGAAGGTGGAGTGCTCGTGCTAAGGCCTCTTGGGGCCGCTCGGAGTCCTCTTGGGGGCCTCTTGGGGGCCTCTTGAGGCCATCTTGGAGCTATCTTGGGCCCTTTTTGGGCCTCCTGGGCGCTTCTGGGGGCCATCTTGGAGGACATCGATCAAAGAAGGGGGCTCCCTTAATTAGCCTCGCCCTCCCAAGAGGCCAAAATGAGGCCAAAACCATGGTAAAACCAATGAGTTGGGCTTCCTCGCCGAGGCCGTTTTGGACGCCCTGACCGCTCGCGGGGCGCCCCGTCCAGGTCCAGGGGAGGGGGGAGGGAGAGGGGTAAACCCTTCTTTGAAGGGGAAGAACGGGGTTGGAAGAGGAGCCGCCCTAAACCACCTACCTCCAGAGGGCTGGTGGGATTATCGTTGATCTCCCCTTTTGTGACACTTGTATGTTTTAGTTCATGTGCTCCTCCCCGGGCTCGCACCTTGTTGTTTACAAGGGACAGTGAGTTGTCACCAAACTGGGTTGTTGGTCCCTGGCTTGCAACAGCAACAACAGCAGCAGCAACAACGGCTCCCGCCTGATGCTTCCTCACAATGTATTCCCAAATCGCGCTCTCGCGCGGGATTTTCCGCACTCGCGTGGGACCTCCTCGCTGTTTTTTCCAGGCGCCGCGCCCTCGACGATCAGGAATCACGTTCTCGCTGTAGATTTCGCACGATTAACTTGGGAATTGCGCCATCGCTCGAGACCTCCTCGCGGATCATGCAGTATGCACGTTTCAGCAACCCGCCTGCTCGACTTGGCTGCCTGGGCCCGCCTTCAGGGTCTCCCCGCCCAAATCTGCCCGTGTGGTTTTGCTACGTACTGTCGTGCTCTATCCTCCTCCCTCCTCCTTGTCCTTCTCTTCCATCCATCCTATCTTCCCGGGCTTTAGGGGCTGCACGAAATACATATTGCAGACGAAGACGGAGAGGGCGGGTATCGAGGTTTTGGGGTATACGTGTCGAATGGTGCGCAAGCAGATGAGAGCAAGCAGTATTAACATCCTTGTTGCTGTTGTTGTTGTTGTTGTTGTTGTTGTTGTTGTTGTTGTTAGTGGTGGTGGTGGTGGTGGTGGTGGTGGTGGTGGTGGTGTTGTTGGTGTTGTTGTTGTTGTTGTTGTTGTTGTTGGTGGTGGTGGTGTTGTTGTTGTTGTTGTTAAGTTTTCATTTTTGAAGAAAAGGTATGATTGATCCCCCCTCGACGCTCGCACCTTGTTTTCTGACAGGGAAAGTCTTGGTGCTCAAACTCTGCCCCTGCCCCCCGGACTACAACAGCAGCGGCTCCCGCCTGAGACATCCTCCAAATTCTTTACGCTTCGCGTATCCCCACCAGCCCATCTCACAACAGCAACTCTTGCGAAGCATGCCGAGAGTCGTGTTTTTCAGGCGTGTTTCCGCCTGCCCCCGCATATCTCCCCTGTTCCTCCTTCCCCCCGCCTCCTTGTACACCCTCCTTGTGGTGGGAGCGGGAGAGGGACGAGGCGGAGGAGGAGGGAGAGAAAGCGCTCCTCGTGGTTTGAGTCGTTCGGGCTTTTCGTCCTGGTGTGAGTCGTTCGGGCCCTTCTTCCTGGTGTGAGTCGTTCGGGCTCTTCGTGGTGTGAGTCGTTCGGGCTCTTCGTCCTGGTGTGAGTCGTTCGGGCTCCTCGTGGTGTGAGTTGTTCGGGCGCCTCGTCCTGCTGTGAGTCGTTCGGGCCCCTCCTCCTGGTGTGCGTCGTTCGGGCTCTTCGTGGTGTGAGTCGTTCGGGCCCCTCGTCCTGGTGTGAGTCGTTGGGGCTCCTCGTGGGGCCTCTTGGGGGCCTCTTGGCGCCTCTTGGGGCCTCTTGGGGGCCTCTTGGGGGCCTCTTGAGGCCTCTTGGGGCCTCTTGGGGGCCTCTTGGGGACCTCTTGGAGCCTCGCGGGGTCTCTTGGGGGCCTCGTGGGGGCCTCTTGGGGGCCTCTTGGGGGCCTCTTGGGGGCCTCTTGGGGCCTCGTGGGGCCTCTTGGGGGCCTCTTGGGGGCCTCTTGGGGGCCTCTTGGGGCCGCTTGGGGGCCTCTGGGGGGCCTCTTGGAGGCCTCTTGGGAGCCTCCTGGGGGCCTCTTGGGGCCATCTTGGGGTCTCGTACGACCTCCTCAGAAGCGCAAAGGACAGCTGCCCCCCTGAGAAGGACAACATGAGCCCACAACCTTCGTAAAATCAATGATTTTGCTATGAAGGACGAGGAGCGCGACCCCCTGAGAAGGCCAAAATGGGGCCACAACCATCGTAAAATCAATGTTTTTGGCGTCGGCGAAGAGGGGGGTACTACAAGAGCGTCCCCCCGTCGGGAGCAGAATCCTCGTGAGGGTCGTCGTTTTTTGGCCCTCCCAGGGGTCGAACAAGACCCCCCTGACCACCCGCGGAACTCCCTCTCCAGGCCCAGGGGGAGGGGGTAGGGGGAGGGGTAAACCCCTCCCCGAAGTGGAAGAAGGGGGGTTGAGGACAGAGGGGGCTCCCTAAACCACTCACGCCCTAAAGGGCTGGTGGGATTTACTCAGGACCCCCCCCCGTCCCGTCTGAGATTTCCTCCCAATTTACTCAGGAACGGTGCTGCCGCTTGAGACTTCCTAACTATTTAGTCGGGGTCAAACTGCGTTGTTGCTCCCCCGGGCTGCAACAACAACGGCTCCCGCCTGCGACTTCCTCCAACTTGACACAGGACCCCCGCTCCCGCCTGAGAATTCCTCCCAATTTACTTAGGATCGGCGCTCCCGCTTGTGATTTCCTCGCAATTTAGTCAGGACCCCCCCTCCCGTCTGAGGCTTCTTCATAATTTACTCAAGAACGGCGCTCCCGCTTAAGATTTCCTTGCGCTTTAGTCTAGACTCCCGCTCCCGCCAGACATCCCCTTTTCAGGAATTGCGTTCTCGCCTGTGACTTTTTCGCAGTTTAGTCAGGAATCGCGCTATCTACGCTCAGGCACCACGCTCGCGCCGAGGACGCCGCCACACTATACTTAGGAAATGCGCTCTCGCCCTACTCAGGCATCCCGCTTGAATGTCCCACCCGCCCGACCCGCCCGTCAGAGGATCGCCCGCCCGTCGTGGGCTGCCGCCCGAGACTTCCTTGTGGAATGGCGCTTTCGCCTAGGACTTCTTCGAACGTTTGCACTCTTACCTTCATGCTCCTCCCTCCTCTCAGGCCGCCTCCCCCTCCTTCCGATTCCCTCTCCCTCGCACGTCAGCTGATGTTGAACTTTCATTCCTGAAGAATGATTCCTGTTGGTCCCCCCCACCAGTGCGCATTCTTTTTTCTCAGTCAAAGTGCGCATCTCGACGCTCGCACCCTGTTTATTTGACAGGGAAAGTCATCCGGGCCAAACTGTGCCCCTGGGCCCCCGGCTACAACAACAACGGCTCCTGCCTCAGACGCGCCCAGTGAGGCCCCGCCACGCTGCCCACAGAGGCCCCTGCCGCAGCCCACAGAGGCCCCGAACGCGCCTACAGAGGTCCCGCCAAATTGCCCACTCAGGCCCCAAAATCATTCCACAAAGGACCCGAACGCGCCCACGGAGGCCCCGCCACGCTGCCCACTGAGGCCCTCGGCGCAGCCCACCGAGGCCCCGAACGCGCCCACAGAGTCCCCACCACGCTGCCCACTGAGGCCCCTGACGCAGCCGGGCTCCAGGCGCAGCCCACCGAGGCCCCACCCCGCTGCCCATTGAGGCCCTTGACGTAGCCCACAGAGGCCCCGAACGCGCCCATTGAGGCCCCACCACACTGCCCACAGAGGCCCCACCACGGTGCCCACTGAGGCCCCAGACGCAGCCCACAGAGGCCCCGAACGCGCCCAAAGAGGTCCCCCGAACGCGCCCAAAGAGGTCCCCACAGCGCTGCCCACTGAGGCTCCAGACGCAGCCCACAGAGGCCCCGAACGCGCCCAGAGGCCTCACCACGCTGCCCACTTCTCAATCAAAGTGCGCCCCTCGACGCTCGCACCCTGTTTATCAGAGCTCGCTGCCTCTGATCGCTGTTTCGCCTCCCACTTCTCGCTGAGCAGCGCCAAAGCCAGCTACCACTATGCGGTTTCCCCGCTCGCCGTGAATGCCGCATGTCGTGCAGCAGTTAAAAGCCCGCGGCCCCTGTTGGTTCCTCTCACCCACCCTGGCCCTGCAGCGCTCGAGGAGATGGCATCGGGCACCACATTCGCCTCCAACACCTCGCCAAGCAGCGCCAGAGGTGTTACATGGCGCTGTTCATGGCGCGACCCATGGCGAAGCATTTGTTGACCTGTGTTGGAATGGCTGGCGCAAGCTGAAGCGCAACTCACGGCACAAGTCATCGTTGTCTCTCCCTCTTGCCCCTCTAATCCCTCCCTTCCTCCGATCCCTTCGTCCTCTCTTCTTGTCTTTTCCCTTTCGTTTCCCTGTTTAGGGGCTTCTCCAAATACACGTGCCCCAAAAACGGGGGGACGATCGAAGACGAAGAGGGCGTGTATCCAGGGTTCGGGATATGCATAGTGAATGACACAATGACACGCGGGCTGGTAGGAGCGAGCTGTCTTGGAATGATTGTTGTTGTTGTTGTAGTTGTTGTTGTGGTTGTGGTTGTGGTTGTGGTTGTGGTTGTTGTTGCTGTTGTCGTCGTCGTCGTTGTTGTTGTTGTTGGTGATGGTGGTGGTGGTGTTGTTGTTGTGGTTGTTGTCGTCCTCGCCCGCGAGCCACCCAGGTCCCCCCCGCGACCCGCCCGCGACACACCCCGCGCCCGTCCCCTCCTGCTACAATATGGTTAACATGGTTTTTGTTCTGATGGATAACCTCAGCGGCGCAAAACAACTGGGCCGTCTGCGCCGACATTGGCGCGTGAGCTGCCCGCGTAAGGTCGCGCGTAAGCGCCCTCGTTTCCAGTGTGGCGTGCCGCGCCGGCGGCCCGCGCAAGCCGCTGCGTAAGGTCGCTGTGCCATCTCGCGGAAGGCCCGTGTTTGAGCGTCGCTCCAATTTTTGGGGGAGATATCCCTGGGGAGGAGGAGGAAAAGTGGGGAGGAGGAAAAGGGTGAGGAGGAGGAGGAGGAGGAGGATGAGGATGCATGTGGTCCATCACTGTCAGTGTTGGCACTGGTTCTGCTCCTTGGGGGCGCCCCGCGCCAGCAGGCCCCGCCCCCCCACCTCCCCCCTCTCGGCCGCCCGGTCGCCCCGCCTCCGCCCGAGGCGAGGAGGCGAGGGTGACGAGGGTGTCCGAGGAGAGCTCGAGGCCGGCGTCGCAGACCGCGCGGGGGGTGTGAGGTGGGCATTTGTCGACTAGAATTAGATCGGGCAAGTCCCTCCACAGGAGGATTTTCCAATAGGCAAAAACCATCGATGTTCCGATTACTTCTTTGGTCAGTTCTTGCGCACTTTTTGGCTATTTCTTGCTTCCAAAATCGAGGGGGAGGGGACATGCCCGACTTAATATCAAACATAAGAGTGACCCTTGGCCAGAGTGACCTTTGGTGCGGGCCCCTTGGGTTCTCCCGACCGCCGAGCGCAATGCAAAGGCCCCCCCGAAAGTCGCGCACCAAGGGTCATTCTTGCCCAGTGTCACTCTTGCGTGTCGCCGAATTGCGGGCGTTACCGGGCGGGGGGTCGAGGAGAGTGACGCGCGTCCTGTCTCCCTTGCTTCCTCCCCCCCCCCCTCCGAGGAGAATTCGAGGCAGGCGTTGCAGATTGGGGGCGAGGGTGGGCTGAGCTGAGAGCATTTTTGGTTTCCGGGCAATAACGTACGTTACCCGGGGGGGGAGAGTGGGACAGGGGCCGGAAACGTCACGTTCCGCGCCAGCGCCGTCCGGGAATGTTCAGGAACAGTGAGAGACAATCCAGAGGTCAGCACGAAGTTTGACGTTGCAGGGGGGGAAGGAGGGGGAGGGGGGGACGAGGAGTGTCGAGTGCGGGCTAGCTTGGCGCAGCACCCCCCCGCAGTTGCGGATTGAAGGGAGGGGGCGGCGGGGTCGCGGGCAGTCTGCGAGGCTCTGATGAAGGCCGCCGCAGGCGCCGATTTCTGAACACATAGCACAACGAACCCGCCGCAGCTGCCCAATTTTCGCCAAAGCGGTGCTGGCGGATCCCGGGTGGGTCTCGGGCAGGTCGCGGGCGAGGACGACGACAACAACAGCGAATCATTTTACAATGGTTCGCTCTTATTTGCTCGCGTTCCATTCAACACGTATGGTCGACGATCGACGAACAGTCGTCGCGGGTTTCTTGGATTGGCGGTGGGGGGCCCCACGGCGGCGTCTCTGGCGCGCCTCCTGGCGCGCTCACCGTGGAGGGTCCAGCACGACGATGCAGAAATAATAGCCTGGCGAGGAGCCCAACTACGCGCGTGGAAACTATCAGCAACATCGCTCAGCTCGTTAGTTAGGGGGTTCCGATGGGCAACCTCCAAGGACGGTAGCGAAGTCACAAATCGAAGGGCAAGATCACGCGAGCCTTGCTCGTGGTCAAGAGTTGGGTCCGAAGGACGACCGCGTCGAAGAATGCTCCAGGCATCCTTCTGCGACGGCGACGGTTTTCTGCGAATCGGCATGTATACCCTGTCACTGGGGCCTTCGGTGGAGCTCCTTGGGGGCCACGAAACGTGTCTGGGACAATTACGCCGAAATGATCGGGGCTGCGGCATGTGACCCCTGTCACTGGGGCCTTCGGTGGAGCTCCCTAGTGGGCCACGAAACGTGTATACTGAAATTGTCGGGGCGGCGCCATATGAACCCTGCCACTTGGGCCTTCGGTTGAGCTCCGTAGAAGGCCACCAAATGTGTGAGTGATGTACCAACTTTGTCGGGGCGGCGGCATGTGAACCCTGCCATGTGGGCCTTCGGTGGAAGGGACCACGAAACGTGCCGAAATGGGCGGTATACGAACCCTGCACCTGGGGCCTTCGGTGGAGCTCCCTAGGGGACCACGACACGTGTGAGGGGTGAGCACGAGACGTGCGACGAGTGTGGCGATGGTAACGATGATGACAATGATGATGACGATGATGACGATGATGATGATGATGAGGAGGAGGAGGAGGATGATGCTGCTGATGATGATGAGGATGATGACGATGATGATGAGGATGATGATGAGTATGAGGATGAGCATGAAGAGTATGAGGATGAGGATTAAGATGAGGATGCGGATTATGCTGCTGATGATGATGATGATGATGATGATGAGGATGATGATGATGATGATGATGATGATGATGATGATGATGATGATGATGATGATGATGATGATGATGATGAGGGTGAGGGTGAGGATGATGATGATGAGAATAATGATGCGGATGATGAGTATGATGATGATGATGCTGCTGCTGATGATGATGATGATGCTGATGATGGTGATGGTGATGGTGATGATGATGATCACGATCATGATCATGGTCATGGGAGTGCGGGCGCAGTAATGATCTAGCAGTGGCGCAGTAGTGCCGATCCCCATTTTATATCTACCGCCATTGAGGGTCAAGTTGCTCATGAGCGGGTCGGCCTCGGCCCCGCCGTGCCTGGCGCGCGCGCGGCGCCACTTGCGGCGGCGATGCCGCGCCCTGTACTTGCCGCGGGCTCGCGGCCGGCGGGCTAGCTGCGCCCGAAGCCGCCATCTGTGCCGCCGCCAGCTCACATGCGGCGTGCCTCGCGTGGTTGCTCGCGACTGGGCGCCGCGGCCGGCGACTTCGATGTGGAGCCCGCTTCCGTGGCATCGGTCGTCGCTGCGGGGTGTCATGGCGATCGGCTGCGCAGGAGGAAGATCGCGGCACTCCGTCGCGGTGGCGGCTCCAACCCTGTGCGGGAGCTCCCGAAGGGCAGGCCGGGGCCGACGGACGGCAGCGAGTTGGGCTGCGCGTTCCGCGAGCTCGCCGAGGAGTCGGGGCTGCAGCTCGAGGTGCCTCGTGGTGGGTGCGCGAAGCTGGGCGTGGAGATCTACTTCACGGGGCGCGGATGCCGCGGCGGCCCTAGGGCGCTCAAGAAAATGCGCTGGTACCACCATCGGGTGGCCGCTGGCGAAGAAGGCCGTTGGGGCCCTCGGACTCGTGAAGTGCGCTTCGTGACGCTCCGCGAGCTGCAGGCGGCCACGGTGACAGACGGGTTCCTGCGGCGCGCCGGGGAGGCGCCGAGCCGGGCGATGCCGAAGGAACTCCATCTGCAGCCGAAGCGTCGGTCGCCGGCCGTCGAGGCGACGGAGCCCGGGGCCAGGGCGAGGCCGAAGCGGAAGGCGCCCCGCGGCAGCGCGGGCCCCTCCTGCGGCGCCGCCGCTGCCGCCGCCGCCACCGCCCGCGGCTGCGCCCGCCCCGCCTCCAGCGCGGGCGCCAGAGCCACCGGCGCCCGCGCCCTCGCTGGCGGCCCCGAGAGCAAAATCGCCAGAGAGGCCCGCCGCGGCGCAGCGGAGACTCCCCGAGCCCGGCGGGGGATGCGGACGAGGCGCGGCCGGCGGGCCGTGCCCGCCGCCGCCGCAGGCGCCCGCCCAGCCGCAAGGGCGGAGCGGGCGCCAGGGCCCGCCGCGATGAGCTGAGGAGACAGCAGGGGCTGGGCTGGCGCAAGCGCCCGAGGGCCGCTGGCGACGAGGAGGAGGAGGTCGCGGACGCCGAGTCCTGCGCGCCGACGCTGCTGGACGAGGTCGAGGCGGGGCCGCCGTGGCGCGCGGCCGGCGAGGCTGGGCGAGACGCGGCGGCAGCAGGGAGTCGAGCTCGGGGCCGTGACCGCGGCCGCGAGGGCCGCGGCGGGGGGCCCAATGCCCTGCGGGGGCCCCGTGACCAGCGATCCGGGCGGGCGGGGTCGCCCCCCCCTCCCTCCCCCGCCGCGATGCATTGAGGCGTGGTGGCTCGCGAGACGTCTGTCCGCTGCCGCATGGGCGCCTAGGCCGGCTTGTGACCGGGGGTTGGGGCCGCTCTCTCGAGGCGCAGCGCGATGACTTTCTCGCTGTTTCGAATTGGCTCGCTGGCTACGATTTCGCAGCTGGGGCCGCCGTTGCGGAGGGGGTGGCAGGGCACGGGGCCGCTGCCGCCCGCGCTGAAGGGCCCTTAGAGAGGACGCAGCCGGCGCTGGATGACGAACTTCGGCGACCTTCTACAGGGGCGAGCCGCGTGCGATGGCGAGCCCGCCAGCAGGGCGCTTGCACCCTAATTACCGTCGCGACGCGGCGTCGCTACCCGAGTCGGTCGTTGAGTGCGGTCTCTTCCCGGGGCCGCGCGACGCTTGCTGGCACTTTACGGAGGGGAATGGCCGACGAATGTTTCGATCCGCCCCCGCGGCCCGTCGCCGGGCGGCCGACTGGCCGCCTGCGCGAGGCAGCTCGAGGGCATCTCGATGCCAGAGCGGAGCGAGCTTCAGCTCGGGGGCCGTGGAGGCACTAGAGTCTGGAAGGGCTCTTCTTCGCGGGTGTCTTCTGCGGAAAAGGGGGCTGCGGACGGTCGGCCGAATTTGCGGGATTCCCAGCTCGTTAATTCGACCTTGTGATCGGGGTCAAGGGCGACGCGTTGCGGCCATAGGTGATGAATGGGCTGATCGCTGACGCGCAGGCAGGGAAAGTGCTTGGCATGATGATGGGACCGCCCTGTACGACGTCCAGTATTGCCGAGCACCGTTCCATGTCGTTGAGGACGCATGAGTTCCCGATGGGTGTTCCTGAATTGCGCAGACAGGATAGGGCTACTGCGCAGCAAGGGAATCAGCTCACGCGCGCCGCGGTGCGGCTTGCGTGAGTGTCACGCGCATGGTGTGCCGTGGATGATTGAAAACCCTCACTCGTCCTATCTTTTTTTCAAGACGCCCGCTATGATGTCGCCGGGCGAGATAGAGGGAGTTGTTTTTCAGGCTGTTTCAGGTTTTTGTCGGTTCGGCATTCGGTAGATGAAAACTACGCGGTTCCTTGGCGGGCAGGTGGACGAACCCGACCTCTCGCGCTCCCGTCGCTGGTGCCAAGGTAGGGGGGGGGTGCTCTCGGACAGGGGCCGCCCACTTCGCCCTCGAGGGACGCGCCCCCGACGAGGTCAACTGGGCCCGCATCGCGCAGGCCCACCCCGCCTCTTTGCGCCGAGCGCTAGCACAGATCTTACTTACTCCTACTAGGGCCACGCGGCCCCAGCAAACCTTCATGATCCAAGAGAACATCCGCTTTCGGGGATGACTCGGGATGTATCCCCCGTGCCGAATTAATTCTCTTTTACGTATGTCGCACGTCGCTTCCGCATCGCGCTGCCGCAACGTTTTTCTTAGACATATCATCGCTACCGAAAAACGTGCTCTATCATGGAAGCGCGGGCGCAGTAATGATCTAGCAGTGGCGCAGGCGTGTCGTTCCCCATTTTATATTTATCGCCATCAAGGGTCAAGCAGCCCCCACCCCCCAGGGCCCAGGTGTAGTTTTTTTTTCTCGTTGTTTTTTCTTTTCGCCGAATTGATTATCGGTGTTGTCTGTCGCCCGTCGCTTTCGCATCACGCTGCCGCAACATTCCTCTTATACGTAACCCCGCTATTGTAAAACGTTCTCTATCATGATCATGACCATGCTAATGATCATCCTGGTGATGGTGATGATGAGGAGGCGGGGGATGGTGGTGGTGATGGTGGTGATGAGGACGATGAGGAGGAAGAGGCGAAAAATGATGATGATGACGATGAGGAATGCGGATGCGGATGAGGAGGATGAGGATGATGATGGTGATGGTGATGGGAATGGGGATGGGGATCGTGATGGTGATGGCCATGATGATTATGATGATGGTGAGGATGATGATGATGAGGGTAATGGTGATGATGATGATGATGACAAAGAGGGTGCCTACCATGGTGATTGTGATGCAGACGAACGGATGGTGCTGCCAATAACGACGAGAGGGAAAAACAGGAGGAAAAGTAGGAGGGGAAAGAGGAGGAGGAGGCGACGCGAGGCGCTGCGAATTCAAAACGAGGACCCAACGCAAAGGAGGGTTGGAAAGAAATCCGCGCGGAGCCCCGAGGCATCATGATTGTATAGCATTATGTTCCTGCGCAGTCAGACCGCAGAATAAGGACTCACGATAAGGATGCAAGGGCCTTGGAAGGCCATGCCAACACTTTGCGGTCGGGGTTCGGCCAGCGAAAGCGGCTAAGGATAGGTTGAAAACGGAAAGATGCAAGGGTAACCTTGGACAGTTGTTCATCCTTGTTTTGCGGGCTTGACTGTAGAAATCTTACGAGGGGCAAACAACTTGTTCCTCCAGTTTTACTACGCTTCGCCTGAACTACTAGGGCGCGCGCGTGCGGATTGCCTCCTGCAGCGCCGCGACGAAGTATTCTCGTTTTTCCTAGGAGGGGGGGGTCAAGGGAGGAAACACCGCCCGGACCCGACAATTGACGTTTAGTAAACGGCCCTGGGCGGTTACTAAACAGCCCCGCCCTGTTCGATTGTTTTTTTGGTGCGTTTGCTAAACGGCTTTGCTTGTCGGGGTGGTTCTTATGGGGGTTGATTTTCTGCCCCATGGGGGGGGGGTCCTGGCATCCTCGCTCGCGTCGTGCGGGAGTTGCGGCAGGCGGCGTTTGGTCTCGGGGGCTCTGGGTGCCTGGCAACAGGGGGAGGGTTTTGTCCGGGCCCGAAGGTTTTTGTTTTCGGGCCTATGGGGGTTTTCAAGATTCCAAGACAGCCCCCAGACCCAAACGGGCGTCGTTACTCATCGGGGATCAGCGGTTGGTCCGTAAGGGGTCCAGACCGCAGGGGGGCCACGTTGGAAAAAAACACGTACAACATCTGGGGAGGTAGGGCATGATGGAGGCAGGAGTGAGCCAGATATCCGTCGTCGTCAGTTTCCACGATATGGCTCGCCAGAGGAGTCCAGACTTTTTTCCTGGGGCCGAGGTCGCATCCAGTATCGTTTTTTGTTGATGCGTGCGCTTTAAAACAACATATTTTACAAAAAGGGGCTCCAGTAAGGGGCCCAGAGGCCAACAACAATGAAACAAACACACTGGAACATTGCATTTGGTGTTTGCCACGACGCGAGGATGTCAGGGGAAGAAGGGAGTCTCGGATGCAATTCTTAGGTGGTTTAGTTGGTGCATCTGAGGCGGGAAACCGTCCAACTCTGGCAAACGCCTGCTAAATTCAGTTTGAGTCTGGGCTGGTATTGCTGAATCTTGCCTACAGTCCCTTTGTGAACCAGGACCTCCAAGGACTTGCATTTTAAGGGAGTGAGGGAGGCGATCGCGTAGCGATATGGATCCGACAATGAATGAATGAATGACCTTGGGCCAGAGCCCTGATTCGAGTTCTTGGCATACTCCCTGTTTGTGTCTCTGGGGTCAGGAAGGACACGAAAGGGGGGGAGGATGGCGAGGAGCAGAGGGGCCGCACCCGCAGGTCGGAGGAGTGGCACGGTTGCGGGGAGAGCCCGAAGGACTCGTCGCGGAACGCCCGGCCGAGCCGCGCTTCGAGGATGGGCTCCAAGGGCTCCGTCGAGGAGAAGGCGACCGCCCGCGCCGCCGAGGTCGGCCAATCACACGCAGGAGCGCAGGAGTGGTTCGAAGCGGAAAGACGTGCATCAAGTCACAGTTCCATGTTGGGAGCTCCGCGCGGACCTCGTGGATCGTCGCTGGGGCCCCCCCTGGCGGCGCTTCCGGCGCCGCCGCTGGAGCGTTCCGCGCGCCAGGGAGGGCGGCCCAGCGCCGATCCCGGAAGGCCGCGCGGCCCTCCGAGAGCTCGGTGTCCGTGCAGGCGCTCCTCTGCCTCCAGCGGCCCTTGGCCGGAGTGACCTCGGGGTGCGCGGCTCGCGAGGGGCGCGGGGGGGGCAGGCCCGAGGCCCGCAGGCCGCCACTGCCGCATCGCGTCCAGCAAATGGCGAGCCGCGCGCCAGGTGCCACTCCGTGTCCAGGGGTCAGTCCTGCGTGTGCCAGGGGGGTCCCATGCCAAGAAGCGCCATGCTCGCGTCCAGGGTACCCTGAGTTTCTTGGGTTTCGATGGTTCTGCTATGGAAAGCGTGACGTTCCCGCACCAAAAATCAACGGACATCCTGGGGTCTCAGGGTTGGGTTTCTCGTGGAAGGTTTTTTGTGGTCTGGCCCCCACTGTAGCCGAGAGGATAGGATCGGATCAGGGGGCGCCCGATCCCTTCGCGAAGGGGCCACAGCCGAAGGATTTGGGGCCGGTTTCGGCCTCCCGGTGCCCTCACCTACCAGCACGAGGCGGTCGCGAGGCGGCGACGAGCGGTGGCGGGCGGGGGGATCTTGTGCACGCCGCGCGAAGCTCGTGTCCCGGCCCTCCCGCCCTGCTTAGGCTGTGCCCGGGAGCGATCTCCTTCGTCGAACGCGACCCCCCGCACAGCCCCTTTTAAGGAGGGGGCCGCACTTGCGATGCACAACGGGGAATCTCTCCGTAATGATGAGCGTCGCATCGTCGCACCGCGATTGAAATGTCGGGCGAAGGCCCGTTGGCCGTGCGTCGAGCGCGCGTCGGGCCATGCGCGGTGGCGCAGTGGCGCAACTTCGACGACGAAATTGTTCGCGATCGGGTCTGCGCGGGGCGCCGCGCAGACCACTGGTGGGCCACGTCGGCGACTGGCTCGGCGACGAAATCGTCTGCGCGTGAGTCGGCGCGCGGCGCCAAGCTGCTTCTTCGCTTGCCTGGAAAGCGCTCGCGCGCGCAGACGAAGACTCGCGCGTCGGATTGGGGGCCCAATCTCGGAACGCAGCATATCGTGCCGGTGTCGGCGCGCGGCGGCGATCCGATTCCGTGCGCGAGCGCGACTGGCGAGCGCTCGAGCGCGCGCGGGATGGCCCCTCGCGCAGCGCCAGCGTTCTGGGAAAGCGACGCTTGCGCGGCGGCCGGCGCGCAGCACGCGCCGACCGGGACGGCGCATCGCCGCGCGGCTGGCGACGTGCGAGTGCGCGCGGGCGCCCCTGCCTGCAGTTGCGTCGCGACGGCGTCGCGCACGCAATCCATCTCTCCGCAGCCGCCGCGCGGCGGGGGGCCGGCCGCTCTGTTCGCGCCGGAATCGGCGCGCGGCGCCATGCAGCGCCCCTGCTCTCCAGGTTGGCGCTCGCGCGCGGGGGGCGGCTCGCACCTCGCATGGTCGGCTGGACTCTGGAACGCAACGCGTTGCGCTGCGGTCGGCGCGCGGCGCCGACCCCACGTCTCGCGCCGAGGTCGGCGCATGACAAGACGCCAGCTCCAGTTTTCGCGCAAACGCCGCGCGCGGCGCGGGGAGGGGTGTTGCGCCGCGTGCGAGCGGCGCGCAGGAGCGCCCTCGGGGCGCGCCAAAGAGCGCCGCGCGCGCGGAGCCGCCTGCGGGGCGCGCCAGATTGCCCCGCGCGAGAAGGTGCGCGCGAAAGGGCGCCCGAGGCGCGCCCGAGTGCGTCGCGCGCGAACGGACGCGCGCGAGAGCGCCTTCAGGGCGAGCCAACGACTGCCGCGTGCGAGCGGGCGCGCACGAGAGCGCCCTCTGGGCTCGCAAGGCGTGCGCCGCGCGCGGGCGGGCGCGCGCCGCAGTGCCCTCGGGGCGCTCCACGGCATGCCGCGCGAGAGCGCGGAGGCACGGAAGCGCCCTCGCGCCAGAGAGAGCGATCGGGCGATCGGGCGCGCGCGAGAGAGCCCGCGGGGCGCGCCAGAGTGCGCCGCGGGCGAGCGGGCGCGCGCGGGGGGGGCGTCTTCGGAGCGCACCAGAGTGCGCCGCGTGCGGGCGGGCACGCGCGGGGGCGCCCTCAGGTCCCGCAAGTGATGGCCGCGCGCGAGCGGGCGCGCGCGGAGGCGCACCCAGGGCGCGCCAGAGAGCGCCGCGCGCGAAGGGGGCGGGGCCCGCGAGAAATGCGCCGCGAGCGAGTGGACGCGAGGGAACGCTTTCGGGGCGCGCCAATATGCGCGCCCGAGCGGATGCGCACGGAAGCGCCTTCGGGCCGCGACAGAATGCGCCGCGCGCGAGCGGGCTCGCACGAGGGCGCTCTCGGGGCGGGCCAGAGTGCGCCGCGCAAGAGCTGGCACGCGCAAGAGCGTCCTCGGGGCGCGTCAGCTAGCGCCGCGTCCGAGCGGGCAAGCGCGGAGGCGCCTTCGGGGCGCGCCAGACAGCGCCGCGTGCGAGCGGTCGCGCACGGGGGCGCCCTCGGAGCTTTTGGGGTCCGGCGCCGTTCACCTTTAGGAATCTCAACATCTTGATTTTAAGCCCGCTGCCCCCTCCGCGACTTCATGGACCCCCCCAAACCAGCGATTCGTTCCAGTGAGGGACGCGGGCCAGCTTACTCTTGCCCTCTGACCTCGCGCACCTTATCTGGATCTCCGCTGGACGCTTCGGCCACTAATTGCTCGCCGCCAGACGTTTTTTCAGGGCCAACGCTCTCTCTGGAGAGTTGGCAGGCGGCTGTTGTGATTTTTTAGTTTACGCTGTTTCATAAGAGCTCCCTCCATGCCATTCCGCTCGGCCCGACGTCAACTCGGTGGACAATGTGCGGGGAGCGAAAATTTGCCCGCCCTTTCAGCACCTTCCGGGGCCGATGTAGCAGTTCAAGGCCCTGATGTTCGAAGGTCTGCCTGGATGTCTTGGATCGGCGCTGGGCCCCCTCCCCGGCGCGGACTGCCAGGGGCGCCCAGCGCCGATCCAAGGCATCCGCGCGGACCTCCGAGAAAGCATGGTCATGAGGGAGCCGCGACAGGCGACTCTTTGGGCAGCTCTCGGCTTCAGAAGGTCCCAGGTGCCAACATGCTTCCGATTGTCCGAAGGGTACCTCCACTGCTTGGTTGACCCTGTAGGAAGGCGGAGGAGGAGGAGAGAAGGAGGGGCCTTGCCGCAGCGAAGGCAGCGCGGCTGCCTAGGGCGACGGCACTGTAAGACGCCCCCACAAGCTTCCTAGATGACCCCCGACAAAAATTCCAGACGGCAAGGCAATGAAGAGGCCCCACGACGACCTGCAAGGGGAGGAGTGGAGAGCCTCCGCTGTTCACCCGCGTTTTGCCGTTATTCCCTCTTCTGACCTAGGTTCAGTCAACCCCATACTTCCGACGCCGCGATTTAGGGAACCTTGATTATGTTTGAGGACTCACGGAAACGACATCCAGGAGGAAAGACCCTTCAGAACCCACACGCACACAACACACACACGCACACGCACACGCACACACACACACGCGCGCCCGCACGCACGCACGCACGCACGCCCGCACGCACGCACGCACGCACGCACGCACGCACCCGCACACACACACACACACACACACACACACACACACACACGCACGCACGCACGCACGCACGCACGCACGCACGCACGCACGCACGCACGCACACACCCACGCACGCACACACACACACACCCGCGCACCCCGCACGCACCCCCTACGCAGCCGGCGCGCACCACGCCCGCACGCAAACGCACAAGCACAAGCACACGTTTTCTCTCTCTCTCTCTCTCTCTCCTCTCTCACACACGCACGCACGCACGCACGCACGTACTCACGCACGCACGCACACACGCACGTACGTACGCACGTACGCAAATACTCACGCACACACACGCACACACACACACACACACACACACACCCAGTCGGGCTCGTGTCTGGCAGGACCCCAGAGTGGTAGGCTGGCTGGCTTCAAATGGGTCTGGTCGAAGCCCTTAATCGGCCCCCGGCCCTTGGTGGGCGTGGCTGGCCAAGGGGGGGGTCGGGCGTGGGTGGGCGCCCAGGGGGGGTCGTCCGCCGCTTTGGGGGACTTCCGCTCTTCCTAACTCCTCCTCCCTCCTCCCTCTCCTCCTCCGTTCTGTTCTCCTCTCCCCACTCTTGTTTGTCGGGGGGGGTTCTGCGCTGTGAAGTGTGGGCGCGCACGGCCCTGGCTTCCCCATGTCCTCGTGCCGGGTCGTTGTTGGGAGTACCTTTGCGGGCCACTTCGCGGCGCAGTTCACGTCGCCCTTCGGTCCGTTCCCCCTCGGGCGACTTGCGGTCCCCCCTGGGTTGTTTTGTTTCATCGATACGGTAGGTTCGCGTCGTGTCGACGCGGTGGCAACCCCAGCGTGGGCGTTCAAGGTTGAACGCCGCCAGTTGCCCAGAGGCGGCTGAGATCGATCGATCCGCGCGAGCGGGGAGCCGCGATGGGTCAAGTCGTCGGCGAGCGAGAGGGGGAAGTGAGAAGGAGATTGCCTTCTCAGAATGCGGCTTGACTTCTCAGAAGCCACCGCGCCTCCTGAGAAGTTTTTTCGTGTCTTCGGGGAAGGCCCAGACGACTCCTCAGAAAGCCGGGGGACTGCCGAGCCTAGCCTTCGGAGAAGGCCCGCCCCTTCTAAATTCCCTGCCTAGACGCGCCGCCGATCAAGGGTGAACGATCCACGCGGTGTCAGAAACCGCCGCGGTTGTCGTCACGAGACGAGTCTGCCGCATACAGTGGAGACCCATGCCAAGAAACACCCTGCTTGCCTCCAGGGTGCCCTGAGTTTCTCGGGTTTCGATGGCGTTGCTGTGGAAAGCGTGACGCTCCCGCGCAAAAAGTCGATGGACGTCCCTGGGGTCTGAGGTTTTGGGTTTCTTGTGGAAGGTTTCTTGTGGACTGCCCTCCCCTGGACATGGGCACCTCCGTGCGCGTGGAGGCACCAGGGAAGCCAGTGACCTGAGCCGATTCGCGAGCGGGCGCAGGCGTCCATCCTGTCCCTCGGCTCCCTGGACGATGACGCCGACGCGCGGAGGAGCCCTGCCCCGGAGAGCGGCCCCCCCCTTGCGCCAGCATCTACCCGAAGAGGGGCCGAGGGCGGCTCGCTGACATCCTCGCGTCAATGGCACAACTCATGATGGAAGGCTTGCGAATGTTCGGCCATTGGAGGACCTTCGCCGTGCCTCGTGGCCGTCAACTCCCCGCGGAGAGGTCCCGACCTGTGGGGAGCGACGCTGCCAACATGTCATGGCGTCGGATCTGGGAGTGTCGGCATTTGCACGAGGAAGGGCCGAGGTTTTCGGACGGTGTTGGTCCGTACTCCAGGATGCTCCGAAAAGAACACGCGGGGCCCCGACCCGTACAGACGTCCTCGATGATCCCAGCAGGGCCACCATTACAGCTGACACGAGGGGTACAGTGGGGGCCCATGCCAAGAAACACCCTGCTTGCCTCCAGGGTGCCCTGCGTTTCTTGGGTGTCGATGGGTTTGCGATGGATAGCGCGACGCTCCCACACCGACCATCAGTGGACGTCCCTGGGGTCTCAGGGTTGGGTTTCTTGTGGAAGGTTTCTTGTGGACTGGCCTCCATTGAAAGAACAGCCCCATATGTAGGACGGGGGAGAAGGGAGGAATGAGAAGGTCCGCCTCCTCCTCCTCCTCCTCCTCCTCCTCCTCCTCCTCCTCTCCTACCTATGGTAGTGGTGGTGGAAACTGAGCCCAACCTAAGTACAGCCTCCAGGTTTGCGCGGGGCGCACTTGTCCTCTTTGACTCATTGTTTTTTACACCTGAGAAAACCCAATCAATGGATGATTCGAAAAATAAATACTACGGAACTTGAGATCGATTGTGAGATCGATAATGATATCGATAGTGTAATCGATAGTGAGGACGACTGTGAGGTCGATCGTGAGACCGAGAGTGAAATCGATTCAACGAGATCGATAGTGAGATTGATCGCGAGATCGCTCATGCGATCTCTAGTGATATCGCTTGTGAGATCGACAGTGAGATCGATTGTGAGATCGATGGTGAGATCGATAGAGAAGTGGGTAATAAGATCGATGGTGGTACCGATCGATAAGAAGATCGACCAGGAACCCGGGAACCCGGGAACTTCGCTGCTCTCCGAAATCGGCCCGGAACCGGGAACTCGGGAACCCGGAACCGGGAACCCAGGAATCCAGCGTGCGACCAAAATCGGCGGGACATGTTCGCCAAATCCTTCAATTTTTGCGATGACTTCAGTGCAAGCGCTGATTTGGGATTTATATTATTCTTGTTATTCTTCTGCTTTTTCCCTGTGGCTGGCCTTTTTCGTCGTCTTCTTCGTGGCTGGCCCTCTCCGTTTTCTTCTTATTCTTCTTCGTGGCTGGCCTTATTCTTCTTCGTGGCTGGTCCTCTTCCTCTGCTTGGTCGTCTCATTGATCTTGCTACGATTATGATTCCGATTCTGATTACTACTTCTTGCTACGATTATGATTACGTTTCTGATTACGATTGTGATTACGATTGGACTACGATTATTATTCTTGCTACGATTATGATTACTATTTTTCTCCGTGGCTGGCCTGTAGCCGCCTCCGAGAGCTAGCCCTCCGTCCTGGCCTGTGTGCGCGGGGCCTCGGGCCCTCGGCGGCGGGGCTCTCGTTCATCCGCTAGGGCGTGGGCGGCAACTTGTTAACGTCGATCCTGGCGGATGGGGGGATTCAGGATGACCTCTCGCTAGTCTTAGCCAGACGTGGCTGTTCTGGCGAAATCAGGCGAGTTGCTGAACGTTCCCGCTCGCCCTAGTCCCGTTTCGGACAAATCTGCATTGTTCCGGGGCTTGTGGGAGCGCGCCGAACGCGGGCCCCGTGCTCGCGGACCGCGCTAGGCTTGGCGTTGCCCCGCAACAATGTAAAACATGGCGCGCGCACTGGTCACTGGTTGGGGCGGGTCAGTTGGCCCAGGCGGGTCACGGGGAGAGCGCGTCGATCATCGGCGTCAGTTTCTCTGCCGCGGCGTGCCCTGGCACGTGAATGCCGGAGTTTCCCGCGGGGCATGCAGACCTGGATGCCCGCCTGCGCGATGGCGTCGCAGCCGCCATGAGACCCTCGCCGCTTGCTCTGGTGCGCCAGCGCCCACGCTCCATATCTCCAGGTTCTGGGCGCGTTGCTGGGCCGGGGCCTTGTCCAGGCCCGCGCGGTTCTCCCGGGCCAGTGCGACCTCGGAGCAGGAATCGCCCTGGGCCGCCAGGTCTTCATCAACAAAAAACGCGAGGAGAGGCGAGGTGATCAGGCCCTTGACCTGCTAAGCGCCACCTGGCACCGCCGCGCCTGATCCAAGCGCGCCCGCCCTGCTATGGCCGCCGCCGCAGCACTCCGAAGCAGTGGTCTGCGCGCCATTCCTGGGCCGCTCGGCGAAAGACGCGAGCCCTTGAGCCAGCCGCTTGGCCGCGGTCCTAGGCTTCGGGCACGTTGGCCCCGTCGCCATCGGCAGCGCCGGGGTGCTGTCCGCTGCCAGCTGCAGGCTCTTCCGCTGCCGCGTCGTCTCGAAGCTGGGGCGCCTCCGCTTCGGCAGCTGCCTGAGCCGCCTTGACGGCGGCCTCGTGCACTGGCCCCGCCGCGGCCGCCAGCTCCCGTCCCCCGTGCTGGGCCTTCATCGGCGCCGAAACTGTTGGCCGTGTTCGAGCTGCGCAACCGATGTGCGAACCGAAGGCCGCGCCGCGTCGAGGGGGGCGCGGCCGTCGTCGACCGCCGTGGCTGGCCGAGGGAAGTGCGCCGCCACGTCAGCACGCCATGCGTCCAACCCTGCCAACTCCAAGCGCATAGTAGCGAGCCCTGTGTGCCGCCCCTGCTTGCTACCTCTGCAACTCTTCAATCTGCTTAGTTATCCAATCAGGCCAAGTGCTTCTGCTTCGCCGCCTTCCTCTTCTCGGCGCCCGCGACCTGCTGCCTGGGCCTGGCCTCCAGATCTGGGCGGACAGCAGCTTTGCGTCGAACGCTCGGGCGCGGCACTCATTGAACTCCTTGAGAGAGCTGCCGCCCGTGGGCTGCAATCGCCCCCGCGCTGTCTGGTAGATTTGCCGGGCCGGCGATCTGGCTGCGGGGCTCCGCGATGAGAGCCGCATCTATTTTCGAAGTACCCTCGTCGACCTCCATGGATGGCAGCCTCGTCTCCATCTGATGACTTCTCCTATGCTGTTGTTTTTGTTGGGGCCTCCGCCAGCTCAGCCTTCAGTCGCTTGACCTCCTTGCTGAGATCGTCCTTGCTAGCCTTCTTCTTGACCGAGACTCACGGCGGGCCTTTTCCTGCCTTGTCCGAATGGAAAGCATGCGCCCTTCGGCCTCCAGCACAACTCGCATGATGCAGCTGAGTCGACAGTCCACCATCGCTCACGTGCCCGATGGCTGCAGCAGCACCGGCAACCATTTGCTTGTTGTTGCCTGGCGCTCGCGTTGCTTGTGATTGGACATGGCTCCACCAAGCAGCGGATCGCTAACCCGCGAAGGCCAGGCTGCGGGCTCCCTCGCAGCCTGGCCGTGCGGACGGGGAAAGAGCCCACGCTGGCAGCGCGCAGCTCGACCGATGAGGCTCGCGTGCGAGCGTGCAGATTCGCCGCGGGCCAGCGGTACGCATCCATTTTACGGTCTGGGTCAGCCACAGGTTGGAGCCAAAATGGGAACGGGGAGGGGGAGGAGGTGGAGGGAGATGAGGAGGATCGTAAGCGATTTTTCTTGTGTTTTTTTTCGACGGCAAATCGATCCGTTCAGCAAAGAAAGGGGACTTTGGAGTACACAGCAAGCGAGTTGTTCGGACGTTCCCCATCGATGATGGGCGCCGCCCCATCGTACATCCCAGGTCTGGGCCCCAAATTTCAAATACAGCCGAAAACCCTCTGAGACTGGGGGTTCTCGGCTGGACTGGTGGGGGGATCCCTGGGGTTGTGGACCCTCCGGGGAGGGTGCACCCCTCGCTGGGAGAAGATTCCGGTTTCAGATCATTAGCGTCGTTGTCGTCATCGCCGTCGCCGTCGCCGTCGCCGTTGCGTCGCCGACGTCGACGTCATCGTCGGCGTCGTCGTCGTCATCGTCGTCGACATATCCTCAGCCAGAGGAGTTCGGAGGACCGGGGGAGGGCGAGGCGAGGCGGCCGCACCTGGACACTTGTGGGGCCTCCGTCGCCGCGTCGCCACGGCTGGACGCGGCTCGGGGCAACTTGGCACGCTGGATACTTTGGGAATCCTCCCCCTCCTCCTCCCCCTCCTCCTCCTCCTCCTCCTCCTCCTCCTCCTCTTGCATCCGGGGGCCAGTTCTGAGCGTCCGTTGTCTCAGTTCGCCCTGCGAAGGGAAGTCGATGGAGGATGGAGGGCAGTACAGACGAGGACGAGGAGAACCAGCGTAAACCCAAGATTCGTCAGCGATATTGCAATACACCCTCCCTCCAGGTTCCCTCTCCAAAGGCCCCTACACGTATTCATGTTTATTGAACGATAAGACAAACGTTTCGAAATCTGGAATTGTGCCAGAACGCCGTTATTGGGATTTGGATGCCGCGAATCACCGTTACTGGCGCATCTTGACGATCCTGAATCGTGCCAGAGCGCCAGTCTTGGGACTTAACTTCGCGGTCGATGAGGAGGGGGGATAGAAGAAGGGAGGTCGACGGGTATGGGGGAGGGGCTAGGAACAAGTTAGGTGCGCTCGCGTCAACATCTGACATCCTATATACCCCTCCCTCCCATCCCTTACCATGGCGCTGATTTTCTCTATCCGCGGACGCGTGTCGTAGCGGACCTGTGGCTCCGCGCGCGTGTGCGTAGTGGGTGGTGGTGCGCGTGCGTGCGTGCGTGTGTGCGTGGTTGTGGTTGTTGTGGTGGTGGTGTGTATGTGTGTGTGTGCGTGTGTGCGCGTGTGCTGTGGTGTGACGTGGTGTGGCGTCTTGGTGGTTTGGTGGTGGGCCAGGTGCGTACGTGCGTGATGGCGGTGGTGGTGGTGGCGGTGGTGGTGTGTGTGTGTGTGCGTGTGTGTGTGCGTGTGTGTGTGTGTGTGTGTGTGTGCGTGCGTGCGTGCGTGCGTGCGTGCGTGCCGTGCGTGTGTGTCTGTGTGTGCGCGCGTGTGATGTGGTGTGACGCGGTGCAGCGTGGTGGTGGTGGGTGGGGTAGTGCGGTGGTGGTGGCGGTGCGCGGTGATGGTGCGCGTGCGTGCGTGCGTGCGTTGGTGGGTGGAAGTGGCGGTGGGTGTGCGTGCGGCGGGGCGGGGCGTGGTGCGGCGCGGTGGTGGCGGGCGGATGGGCGCGCGAGAAAGAGGCCCGCGTTGGGGCGAGAACGCCATCCTGAACGACGGAGGCAAAACACCGATCCGAAAATGAGGCCCACGCTGCAGCGGGAGCACGATTCGGAACGATTCGGGAGCCCAAATGAGGCCGGCGCCTCAGCGAGAGCAGCATTTTGAAAAAACGCAGGCGAAAACCCATTTCCCGGGAATCCTGTGTGCAAAAAAAACAGTACGCGGGGGGGGTCGACTACTCCCAGCACGCCATGAGGGGAAGAGGGAGAGTAGTATTCATATTGAGTAATTGTCAACAGGAGGGCGAGGGAGGAGGGGGAGATTGAAAGAGTAGATGAGTGTGTAGGCTTGGAGAGATGGAAGCTCCTCGTGCTGTTCCTCCTCCTTGCAACGCGCTTATCTTCATAATCACCTTTTCCTGTTGCAGCCTCCCCCCCTATCTCATTACCCCATGCGCCTTCACCTTAACCACCACCTCATCCTTCTCATTGTCCATGCCATCGTATTCTCCTCCGATCTCCTGGTGAAGCCGTGGCCGATTGCCCTTTGCAGACATTTCAGATACAAGGAAATGTGCCGCAGACATCGGGAGCTCGTCGGACTCCAGCTCCGAGTCGGAGGACGGTGGCGTCAACAGGAGGGGCGAACAAGGGGATTGTTTGCCAAGAGGAGACAACCTAAAAAGAACATTGACCACATTACCACATTGCCCAGGAGCGGGCAGGATGATGCCACGCGTGTGCGTACACATGTTCTGTTTCCCGTTCACGCATGTATGCGTCCATGCGTGTATAGATATTGAGCCGCGTATGTGTGAAAGAGAGGCTATTGAGATTCGAGCGCAATTTCATGTGAATACGCATGTGCAGCTACGCCATCCCAAGTCTTTCGGGCCCGGCGAACGCCGGAAGAACTTTGGCGACGGTTTAAGCACAACGTACGCGTTGTTTTGAAATTTGTCTCTGTGTCAGATGAGCTTGTCGTGTTGGACCGCTGCACGTGGCGCCTCGTGGCACGGGTTCTCACAGGATGCTCGCACGGATGGTTTTCGCAAGTCCTGCGTTGAATCCCGGCCAGAGTCCGACGCCGAGACCGCGGCGCAGATGGAGAGATACCGTCGAGTCTTCCTTGCGACAAGAGCACGGCACGAACCTCACGAGTTATCCGCAGGTGGGAACGTTTGCCTTGACAGCGGTTGGAAAAAATACAGTTTCTTTTGATACGAAATAACTGATGTACAACATATGTGTTTCAAACTTGTCATCTCCGCCACTTTTCCATTCCATTCGCGCTGTGTTGCAGTAGTGTCTCACGCCCTCCGTCTCGGCCTGCGGAGCGAGGTGCCTCCAGGGGCTCTTCGACCAGACTTGACCCTGGAGACTTCTGGGGGCGTTTGCAGGCCTCGTGCGCCGCCTCGAGGCCACATTGAACCGCCTTGGAGGAATATTGGTCCTTCTGTGGCCGTATTGAAGCCACCTTGGCCTTGTTGACAAAACAATATTGCACCGTGTTTGAGGCCATCTTGAGCTTCATGTTGGCAGCATGGGGCCCCCTTCAACGGGAACGCCCACGGGAGATCCTTGCATGTTTCACGGGTCCTTCTGGATCGGCCGAGGTCGTCGTGGGGTTTTGTTGGAAGGGTGTAAGTTGTGAGTGCTCAGCACGCCAACATTTCCAATGGCAAACAACATGGGGCGGCGAAGTCTACAACCATCTTCGGAATCAAACGCAAGTTTTGATCCGACCCCCTCGCCCCAAAATTTCAATGTTGATGGACGCGCACAGCGTGGCCCGCGGGGTCAACCGAAAAATTGTAGTCGCCAGTGTCGGCGTCAACATTGAAACTTGGGGCCCGGGGGCGTCGGCATGTCTCGGGAAAAATTTGCGTTCGATTTCGAGGAGGGGTGTAGCAGCCTACGGCCCATCCCGCCGCCGTGCTTGGGTCCTCGGCAAAAAAAAGAAGCTTCATTGGGGAGAGGGGTCTCAGGGGCCTCTTGGGGCTCTCCTGGGGGCTTCTTGGGGATTATTGGAGTCTTCTCTGCGGCGTATTGTGGACCTCGTGGAGGCCTCTCGGGGCACTCCTGGGGGGGCCCTTGGCGGCCGCGGGGGGGCCTTCAGTGCAGCTTGCTGGCCGCCCGAGCGATGGCGAGTTGGAAGTCTCCGCGAGAAGCGCTAGACGCGCCCAGGAGGGGTTGAGGAGGATGGGGAGGGGAGATGATAGGGGGGGATGCTGCCAGGGAAAGAGCCAGATCATCTCTTCTCCATTTTTTTCCTCAAACGGCAGGTTCCAGCCGCGTTACCGCAGCGGCGACCCTGGCGCGGGCGGTCAGCTCAGAAATCCGAAGCCGCGATTTCGTTGGCAATGTGGATCCCCAGAGATCTGGTCCTCTTCGGGGGACCACCTTTCATCCTGAGTAGTTTTTTGGACGGTCCCCAGGCCCGACGATGGCCCCTAGACTCGAGGTCCAAGATGGCCCTAAATTTTCCGCCTGATTCTTGGCGACCTGAGGATGCCAGGGAAGGTTGAAGACCGCCGGTGGCGGCCGACGCCGAGCGATCCGCTCAAGGGCTGTGCGATCCACGCGGTGTCAGAAACCAGCGCACAGGTCGCCACGACACGAAGCTGCCGCACTTCACCCTTGGCCAGGGCACGGGAGGAGGAGGAGGAGGAGAAGGAGGAGGAGGAGGAGGTAACCGAGCGCGGGCGATAAGAATGTACCCCCCTTCACCCCCCGAATGTTTTTTCTCCGGCCAATAGGATTTGTGGAGGAAGGCGCGGAGGCCGAACTTTCAAGTCCGCGGGAAAGTTCCGGGGATCGAAGTTGCTATCATATCATGCTGACCACAACAGCATCACAAACGTTGAGCATGGCCATGGTGGTCTTACCACACCAGCTTCCGCAATCACGAGTGTGTGGCAGGGCTGTGGGATCCTCACCAGTTCAGTTTCCCCACGTTACGAACGTGCGGCAGGGCAACCTCTAGGCGCGTGCTTAGCCACGAGCCTCCAGATCGCTCGAATCAGCCTTGTGTCGTGCGCCTGGTTAGTCACGAGCCTCGAGATCTCTCGAGTGAGTCTTGTGCCGTCATCACCATCATCATCGTCATCATCATCACCAACATCATCATCACAACTTTCTTTCAACGGGAAAATATTGTATTATCCCCGCCAGACCCGCGAACTTGATTATCCCAGGGGCTTCATTACCGCCCGCGCTTGGTTATAGGAAGAGGAGGTGTAGGAGGAGGAGGGTATGATGATGAAGATGATGATGCTGATGCTGATGATGATGCTGATGATGGTGATGGTGATGGTGGTGATGGTATTGATGATGATGGTGGTGGTGATGGTGATGGTGATGGTGAAGATGGTGATAGTGACGATGCTGCTGATGATGATGGTGATGATGCTAATGATACGGATGATGATAATGATTATGATGATGGTTAACCGCAATAATCAATTAAGATCCCCCGCCTTTCCAGCGAAAGTATAACGCACCGGGCACCCCAGAAGCGTTACCCTGGCACCTCGAACATTTGTGTGAACGCAGACGAGTCTGCTTGCCGAATCAAGAAAACCGCCTGAGACATTCTCGCAATATGGTCTCCTTCTGTCTGCTTCTGAAACTAGCGCCTCGCCTGAGATCGAAAATGAGGGGTGACATCGAAGTGGAACGGAGAGCCCCTCTACCGGGAAATCGGTTTCGGTTTCGTGTTCGTGCGTGCCGTGCGCGCGGGCGAGGCGAAATTGCGTGGGCGGGCGAGAAGAAAGTCTCCTCCGGCTGAGGCGCGGCTGGACCAAATGATTCCTTTCCGGAGGCCTGTGGCCCGCGGTGTCCCGCCGGTGTCACGCCTCTGGCTGAGGCGCGGCCGGACCAAATGATTATTTCCTCGGGGCCGGTGGCCCGCGGTGTCCCCCCGGTGTCCCGTCGGTTTCCCAATGATGATGATTATGATGATGATGATGTTGATGTTGATGTTGATGCTGATGATGGTGATGATGGTGATGGTGGTGATGATGATGGTGCCCCGATGATGATGATGATGATGATGATGATGATGATGATGATGATGATGATGCTATTGACGATGATGATGATGGTGATGATGATGATGATGGCCATGGTGGTGATGATGATGGTGGCCCAGTGATGATGATGTTGATGATGCTGATTTTGATGGTCCTGATGATGTCGATGATGATGGGATAATGAAATGATGATGATGCGAATGATGATGATGAAGATATGATGCTGGTGTCCCGATGAGGTTGATGATGATGCGCTTGATGATGATGATGGTGATGATGACGGTGTCCCGATGGTGGTCATGTCGATGATTTTGGTGATGAGGATGATGACGAGGTGATGCTGATGATTCTGGATGATGGTGGCCTGATGATACTCAAGATGCTGTTGATGACGATGGTGTCCCGATAATGATGATGATGATGAGGGGATGATGATGGTGATGATGATGATGGTGATGATGATGATGGTGACGATGATGTTGGTGTCCCGATGATGATGATGATGATGATGATGATGATGATGATGATGTCGATGATGATGATGATGTTGCTGATGATGATGATGATGATGATGATGATGATGGTGTCCCGATGACGATGATGTTGAATGTTGTTCATGATGATGGTTGTATGATGGTGATGACGGGTGGTGGTCCGATGCTGATGATAATGATGATGATGGTGCCCTGTTGATGATGATGTGGATGATGATGATGGTGGCGATGATGGTGTCCCGGTGATGATGATGGTGCTGCTGATGATGTTGGTGATGATGGTGATGAGGTGATGATGATGGTGTCCCGATGATGGTGTTGATGACGTTGATGACGCTGGTGGTGATGATGATGATGATGATGACGTTGGTTGTGAGATCGATTGTGATATCGATAGTGAGGTCGACAGTGAGACCACATGTGAGATCGATTGTGAGATCGATAGTGGGATCGGTTATGAGATCGACTGTGATTTCGATAGTCGGATTGCTTGTGAGATCGATCGAATGAAATAGATAGAGTGTGATCTATTTTGATATTGATCGAGTGCGATCGATCGAGCGAGATCGATCGTGATATCGATAGTGAGATCGATAGTGAGACCGATCGAGTGAGACGTTGGTCCCTCCCCCCCCCGAACCTCCTTATCACCCGAAGGGTGGTCGCATAGGTATCCTCAGAAGTTGCTATGGACGCAGACGAGTCTGCTTATTGTTATCCTAAGTCTTGTTATGATTCTTAATATTATTCTTACTATTCGTATTTCACTCTTCTTCTTATTCCAATTCCTATTGGGATACCACCCGAGCCGGGGCGAAGGAATCATCCATTTTCGTTCCATTTACGCGGTGTTAATCATATCGTTCGGCGAAAACCGCTTTCCCAGAATTATTGAATTACGATGATGTGCTAATGATAACCCCGGGGGGGTCCTTAATGGCCTCTTGCGGTGATGATGATGGTTGTGGTGGTGATGATGATGATGCTGATGCTCATGCTGATGATGATTATGATAATGATGATGATGCTGGTGATTTTGATGCTGATGCGGTTGCAGATGCTGACTATGTTGATGATGATGGTGGTGATGATGGTGATGATGCTGGTGATGATGATGCTGATGATTAGGAGGATGAGGAGGAGGACCAATCATAAGATGGCGAAGACACATAATACGCATAATCGCATTTCAAATAACACTTATAATACTATGATGAAGAAGGACGATGTGAAGACACATACGAAGACGAATGTGTCGAATAGGAATGGTGAAATTATAAGCAGAAGAGGAGGAGGAGGAGGAGGAGGAGGAGGAGGAGGAGCAGGACGAGGAGGTGGAGGAGGAGGAGGAGGAGGAGGAGGGGGAGGGGGGGGGGCCAGGCTTGGCATCGATGGCAGCCTGGAGGCCGACCCCGCCCGCCGGCCTCGCCAAGCCGCTGGGGTCCTCTCTGGGGGCGCCCTCGAGGGCGCGAAGTCCTTCGCGCTTCGCGCTTCGGCTCCGATTCCTCCTCGTCCCCGGCTTCTCTCCTCGGGGGGCGGCGCGGGAGCGCGATGGTCGCTCGCACATTTTGCGCCGCGCGCAGCGGGAAGCGTGAAGCTGGGCGCCTGCGCCTCTCCCCGCCGACACCTCGGAGCCCCCCGGCAACGAGCCGGGCCGACGAGCGGCGCAGGCGCGGCGCGCGCCGCCCCACACAGACAGGCCGGCCCTGTTCGGGGGGGGGGGGGTTCGGGAGTCCGCTCGGTGGTTCCAAGATGGGGTCCCTGAGGGATGGCGTCTCTAAGGATAGGAAGGGGTCCAAGGGCGGATCTGCACTGTTTGAGTCAACTCGTCCTCAGGACCCCATCCCTCAGGACCCCATCGTTGCACCACGGAGCCGCGCTCCGGTCCCGGAAGACTGAGAGCCGCGACGCAAACCCGCGCCGTGCCGTGCCCAGACTCTTCTAGAATGTGAAAGATTCGCCGTGCCCGAATGTTGTGCCGAGGTTCTAGAATTAAGTCGGGCCTGTCCCTCTACAGGAGGAATGTTCAAACATCGTCAACATAGTCCGGGGACGATTTTTGAGTATTTCTGAGCGTCCAAAATCCGCCTGATTAGGGGGACAGGCCCGGCCTAATTCTAGAAGATGAAGGACGTTTTCCGAAACGATGGAGCACAGCCGTGCTGTGCCCGGGAGCCCTGCCGCGCTAGGACGGAGAGCGCGAGTCGGACAGCATTGTGCCGTGCCGTGCCCGCGCGCCGTGCCGCCGCGTTCCGTCGTGTCGGTCTCCTGCGGCGCTGCCCACCCACACCGTGCACGCCCATGCCGATGTCGACGCACCATGCGATCGTGTTCTCGTTCATGGTTTTGCCGATCGGCGCGGGCCCACGACCCCCCCTTCCGCCCCTCCCTCATGGAGTAGGTCTTGACTGCTTGTGTCTCTTGTTTCGAGCAGGTGGAGACTCCCCCATGGGACGCCCCTGTCGCAAACAGTCGCACCAAACAGAGGTTCAGAGCCAGACCCCCCTCCTCCCCCCCTCTTCGCTCAGTGTCGAAGCGCCGAAGGAGAAAACGCTCACCATGTGGGCGACGCAGAAAACTGCGGTCATCTGCGCCGGCAAACATGCAGCGGTGGTGTTCAGTGTGTTCTTGGGCGCGTGGATATATCTATATATAAATAGATAGATAGATAGATAAGTAGCTGGCGTCGCAGACATATTTCAGGTATCTCGATACTTGAGATCTAAAAGTCCCGATCATTTCCAGTTGACTGGCTTGCATTTCGTTTCTCCGAATGGCCTGTAGCTCGAGCTATATTTAGCTCCGCCCCGCGCCAGAATTCCTCTAGCTCATCGTACCGAAGAGTTCGACGAGGTATTCTCCGAGTGATTCGCGGTAAACATCTTCCTCCTCCTACTCCTCCGCTTCTCTTCTCTGAACATCGGCCAAAGGCGTTGCTCAGGAGGGATCTGCCGCATTGCATCGCCAAGGCAGGTTGGAATGCGCCCCCTTCCCTTTCTGCTCTTCCTTCTGTTTCTTTCTTCGTTCAGTGCGTCCCCCTCCTGTTTTTTGTTTCTTTCGTTCTCTTCTTCCTGTTCCCCCCGTCCTTGCTCTTCATCCCAGGGTCGCCCCGGCTCTTCATCGCGGAGTAGTCCCTGTCTTCCAAGCCCGCTCGGGTCTCAATCCCGAGGCCGCCCGAGTCCGGGGTCTTACCCCTGGGCTGTCCCAGCGCCCGGAGTCCAACCCCCAGGACGTCCGGTTCTGTTTGTAGCCTTGACAGCCTCCGCGAAGGGCTCGCAGGATCGCTGGAGCGGTTGTCTGGAGAGCTCGCTAGCTGGCGGAAACCGCTTCGCTGGAGGCTTGAAGGGATACCTGGGGGACCCGCGAGCTCTGGACGGAAGCTGCCAAGGAGCTGCGGGGTAGCCTCACGGCGAAGCTTCGGGACGCGCGTAGTGGGAACGAGTAGGTCGGGACACGCTGCGAGGTCAAGCTCCGCTGCGAGGATGCCCGACCGGGGGCCTTGGAGAGGAGCTGGCGTAGCCCTGCCGGCCGGCTTCTTCTCTAACAACCCATTGCCTCGGAGAGCTCTTTGGTTCGATTATAGCTAGAGGAGTTATGTTCGCGTGCCCCCTCGTGAGCCTCTCTTGGGATCTGCTGGGAGATCATGACCTGCGAAGCCACTTTGCAACCTGAGCAAGGGCGCTGCCCAGAACAACAACAAAAACGGACCACCCTCGAGGCCCGAGCTCGTGGAAGCCCTTTTGGCGTCTGCCAGGCCTGGCGCGCGCCCTCGAAGAATCCGGAATCAGCAGGCAGCGATCATGAGACGACAGTCCGCAGTGTCCTTTCCCTCGTCGTGTCCATCCCTCTCCCGCTCCTTCTCACTCAGTCCATCCGCAACGGTTGCTCAAGTTTGTCCCAAAGCGCCCACGAGGCATCCGCTTTTTGGATCTAACCAAACTGGACATTGACGCTCTCTTGCTGAGACCGTACCACCGCATTCCACGGCGCCCATGGCATTGAACGTTCCGCGCGTTGTCGTTTTTTGCTGCGGTCTGTTCGCAACTGCTCACAGTTTGGCCAGTGAGGGAGCGACGTCTACAGGGTTTGTGCCTGTCATTCCAGAGCGGCAGATGAGCGATGAATCTGGAGGTGCGACCTTTCTGAACAATTGGTACTGTAGCGGCGCCGTGATCAATTTCGGGCATCACGCCACCGCAGCGTCTTGCGAGGCTCAGATATATGAAGGGTTGCGCCTTTTCCCGTCAGACCACCCAGGCTGAGCCATCTACGCTTAATCTTGGGGCTTCTTCGAGGCCTCTGGGACCCATCTAGAGGGTATCGTGGGGCCATCTCGTGGTCTTCTCGGCCATTCTGGGTGGATCTCGGGGCCTTTGGTGGTCACCTTGCGGTCGTGTTGGCAACTGCGGGGTCTCCAGGTGCCGTCTTGAAGCGATGTTCAGACACCTCTTGGGAGCATGGTATGGGTCTGACAAGAAAGATTGGCCCGAGTCGTTTCGCTCAAGGCTCAAGCGCCCAAGACAGCATTGATTTATAGCGCTGGGCCGTGGCCATCATGATGAACAAGTCTGGCAAGAAACAGGCGCGGTCGGTCACGGGTTCGGCTCCCAAGGACAAGAAGCTAAAGGCGCAGGAAGCGAAATATGTAGTGGGCGAGGATGAGGGCATGGGGAAGAAGAAGAAATGGAGGTGAAGGGCATGATGAATAATATGATGCGAATGATGTGGGGCATGAGGAAGGAAGGACATGGCGGACGCGAGGAAGGAGGTGGAAGCAGTTCAGAACACCGCGCAGCAGGCGAAGTACGCCGCAGACATGGCAGGGGGGCCGTGTATGCAATCAGGGAAGAGGTCAGCGACATTCGGAAGAACGCTATCACAAAGGACGACCTGCCAAATATACTTCAGGGCATCGTGAAGGAGGAGGGGAAGGGGCAGGGTGGCAAAGAAGGGCGCTTCTTCGTGGGCGGCGAAAGATACAGGCCACAATGTCGGCACAGAGCAGGGTGAACGTGCGCGACAGGCCGTTGCTTTGGGGTCTGCTTCGCGCGCGGATGATTCCACGTTGGTTTTAGACTTTGAACGCGCTGGAAAAACAACTACCCAGAAACGATATCAACGTCAAGGTGACAGCGCCGAAGGATCCAGCGAGATTCGCGCTGCTTGCCTTCGCGTCCGTGTCGGAGAAGATCGCATCCTACAAACAGCTTGGGGCAATCGGCACTAAGCCGATATTCGGAGATGTCTTTTTCAAGTACAATCTAAAGAGGGAGGAGCAGGGCGCGAGGAGAGATCGGGGTATACCAAGCATCACCCATCCGAACATGACAATTGCAATGACAAAACAGCAGAGGTAATTTGGTCGAGAAGCATGGTTGTGACGAAAGATGGGCCAGAGGCGAATAGCATGGTTTGATGAGGAGGGGGAGTGGCGCACATATTCAACAGGGAAGGCGGCGGAGAAGTCGGCGGAGGAGTCGATGAAGAAATGGTGGGCCAAAGTGCACTCGGAGCCTGCCGCGGAGACCCACAGCGAGCGACCGCGAGGAGGAACGCGCGTCCGGCATGCGTGCGCTGAGGAAAAGAGCACCAGTTCCAGGGCGGCATCTTTCAAGGGAGGGAGGCGCGTTCTTCTTCGCAATGAAGACGGCGACTTCCCCATGGCAGCGCTGAGGCACTGTGTGTCTGAAGGCGCGGGGGCGCAGTCGATGGGGGTGGCGCTGAATGCAGACGCTTTCGCCGACGACTCGATTGGCGGGTGCAGAGTTTACGCCAAAAACACAAGATCTTTGAAATCAGACGACCGTGTAGTTGGCTTGATGGGGAGCTTTCACACGTGGCTTGGGATTTGGTTTTGCTGAGCGAAACTTGGAGAGACGAGGAAAACGATATGTGGGAGACAGAGGCTGGCCACATCTGCGCAGGCAGGGGGCGGGGGGGCAATTCGAGAGGAGTCGCGATTCTCGCGCGCAAGAGACGCGCGAAGCACATCGAGGAAGCTTTCTACGTGAGCGAGCGAATCTCGGCTATGGACATATACATGCATAGCGCACTGGTTCGGTTTATTTCTGCGCAATTCCTCCACGGGAAGTACCCGGGCGCAGAGGTCCAGTAGTTGCGCGCGGCCATTTCGGAATTGACCCGGGCGGCGCGCCAAAAATAGCTGAAGTTATCGTAGGGGGCGACTTCGACGCAGAGGTGGGGGCAAATTTAGACGGATCCGATACTGGCGTTATTGGTAAGTTCGGGTTGAGACGTAGTAACAACAGAGGGTGCCTGCTTAAGCACTGGGCCAAGCTTGAAAGGCCGGCGATGGCAAATGCTATATTCGAAAAATCCGAAGAGAAATATTTTACTGTCATGGGCGCCGATTACATGCTTGCGGGTCGGAGCCCAGGCTGCCGAGTGACGAATGCACAATCAATTGCGTGCTTGGATATGGGGTCGGATCACAGGGCAGCGCGGGCAACGTTCTGCCGCGCTTCATCTTTGGATCCTGATCGGGGGACCGGCGCGAAGAGCGCGGCTCGGGCCAGGAAGCGCGCCAGCGCATACAAGGTAGGCTTGTTCAAAGAGAAGGTAGCGGCACGAATGTCGGAGGTACGTTGTCAAGCGGGCAGGCGAGTTCAATGGGCGACAAGATAGAGGGCGTGCTCGACGCGGCGGCTGCGGAGCCATCGATGAAGGAGGAGAAGCAGCTCAATCGGAAATCACAGGAAAAGGCAGACAACATGCATCATCTCATTTCTTTAAGAAAATCGCTGCCACCAGATCGATCTTCGGAGCGGGCCGACATCAGCAAGAGCATGCGCGGGGGGATCCCGCGGGGCCGCAGGCAGGAGCGCCGACGCCGAATGAGAGTTTTGTCGGAACAGTTCAAGGGGGTCAAGACTACACCCCGGATGAAAACAATAAGGGGCATGTCTTCCATCCCAGCAGCGGTGGGCAAGCAGGGGCGGATGCATTCAGATGGGCAGGGCATCGCGGACGTATTCGCTGAATTTTACGAAGATTTGCACCGGGCCATGGGTCCCCCAGCGGCTGGGGCAGCTGGGCAGGATGGCGACTTTCCTCTTTTCGCGCCCGATGAAGCACAGAAAGAAATCAGGGCTCTAAAGCGGGGTAAAGCGGCTGACCGGGCGGGCATCTCCAGCGATATGTTCAAGGATGGTGGTCAAGTTTAATAGATATGATCGCGCTTCTCTTCAACGATATTGTCGAGCCAGGGGCTACCGCGCCGAAGCTGGAACACATCCTTCATTGCAGTATTGTTCAAAGACGGCGACGCAAAGTGGCCCTCCAACTACCGTCCTATCGCGATCACCCCGCCGTTATACAAATTGTTCAGCCGCCTAATCAGACGACGTCTCATAGCAGTCTTGGACACAGCGCAACGCGAAGACCAGGCCGGGTTCCGGGCGGAGTACAACGCGGACGATCATCGATTGGCATTTGTTGTATTGCAAGTGAAATGTGACCAATCGGGGCAGCAAGTTTGGGTAGCCACGCGGGACTTTAAAAAGGCGTTCGGCAGGATTTCCCACGATAGTATTTGGGCTGCGCTGGAAGAGCAAGGTGGTCGCATTTCTTGCATTTCCTTGTTGCAGAAATTGCGTTCCGATCACGCTGGCGCCGTGACTTTGGACGACAAACAGGGGGTTCTCAATCTGCCGGGGGGCGAAGCAAGGGGGCCCGCTTAGTCCGACTCTTTTTAATGTTGTCATTGAGTGCATACTCAAGCCGCTCAAATCTCGGTGGCTTGCCAATTTTCGTGGTTTCCTGCTAGGGGGCCGGCGGTTGACAAATCTACGCTTCGCAGACGACGTCATGTTAGTGAGCAACACGCTGGCGGGGTTGAAGGTGAGGCTTGCGGACGTGGCGGCGGCGTGCAGCGCGCACGGTTTATCTCTTCACCCGGGCAAGACAAGAATATTGACCACATTGCGGACGCGGAGGGGCGAAGCTGCACGGCGCTGTATCTCAGTGCGAGGCATGGACATCGAATCATTTAAAAGAGCAGATTCTGCAATATATCTAGGGCGGAAGATTGTGTTCCAGGACGCGCACAAGGCGGAGTTAGACAGCCGGATGCACTGTGTCTGGAGGGAGTTTTATGCGTTGGAAGACGAGCTGACGAGCAACAAGTATCCAGTCAATACTAGGGTGCGCCTTTTCGAATCCGCTATAACTCCATGCGCACTGCATGGTTCGTCGTGCTGGACGCTCACGGCAGACTTAGAGCGGGTATTAATCGCGACGCAACGCCAGATGCTACGACTTGTGATCGGGTGTGGCAGGCGCCGGATCCCAGCCACTTCTCCTGCCAGGTCGACGTCGCCGGGCCCAGCTAGTTCGATTTCTTCTTCTAGTGGCAATGTTGAGGACGAGGTTGAATCTTGGTCAGATTGGTTGCAGAGGGCGGCGCGGGACATCGAGCAGCAGCTGGATGCGCTGGGCGCGTCGGACTGGAGGACGCAATGCAGGAGTCGCAAATGGCATCGCGCCAGAAAGCTGTTACAATCTGAACATGTGGTTTTGCGAAGTCCTTTTCTGGGAGCCGGGGCGCACATGCGCGAGGAGGGGGCGCGCGGGGAGGCCCCCTCGAAGATGGGAAGATGATTTTGCGAACGCTTGTGCGTCTTATACTGAGCCGGGCTCAGATTGGAAGGCCTGCGCCTCTGGTCATCAGATGTGGGATGATATGGAGAAGTGATACGTGGGCCTCTGAGTGAAATTGCATTTTTTCCACGCCATCGCTGCCCATGGGCGGGCCCGCCCGCGCTTCGGCAGCGCGCCGCTCCCCCCTTCGTTGGGGTCAGCCCTCCGGCTGTGTAGAGCGAGTCCGAGTCCGAGTCCGGTGTATTCTGCTTTTTCGGAGGCCTCTTGGGGCCCCGCCGGGCTATTCTGGAGGCATTTTTGGGCCGCCTGCGGCTGTCTTGCGCTCTTGAGTCCATCTGCGTAGTCTTCTCGGGTCAACTTCGAGGCTTCTTGGGCGCGCTCGGCCGTCCTGTGGCGTCCTTGTGGGAATGCGATGGCAACGTCGAGCGGCCGTGAATTCGAGGGACCTCCCAGGCGTTTTGTTCGGTCGTGCAGTAGAGAACAGACGGCCTCAGGATTGGAGAGACAAGCTACAATAGTCACTAGACGCCAGCAAGAACACAGGGTAGCAGCCCAGCCGAAAACCCCGCAGCCTTGCGCTCCCAAGGGGGCTTGCGGATTTGACAACCCCTCATGCGGTTCCGATTTCATGCAGCCCACTTACCCGTTTTGGGGGTGGGGGTGCAGATGCTGTGCTCCTGGCGCGGGCAATGACCAGTACAACGCAAATTGGGAGAGGTGCCAGAAAACCGATTACCTCCTCGCGGGCAGCTATGGGTGCGCTTCGCAGGCGAAATATTTCGGCTACGCGAGCAGCGCGGACGAGTGCTACGCCGCAGCCGCTGGTGACTCAGCATGCGGTCTTGGCTTCGTGTTCAGCCCGACTTATCCAAGTTGGGGGCGCAGATGTTGTGCCAATTGCAATCCTGGAGGGGTGAACAGCAATTGGAGGTTGTATCCAATTGCTTGCGGCGCATTCCGCCACCGTGCCAGCGCGCGCGCCCTGCGCCTCGGCGGCCCGTGGAGCACCGCCCGCAAGGCCGCGTCGTGCGATGTTTCACGTCCTCTGGGTCAAAGAGCAGTGGCATGTGACGCGCTCGCGCCGGCCGCTTCGGGGCCGTCTTGGAGCCCTTTGCGTGGCCGTCTTGGGCTGAAGGAAGCCCGAAGCGCCAAGAGCGCGAACCTTCACGCACTTTGCAGTGAGATGCGTTTTTTGCGCTCTGCAGGCCCTGCTGGAGGTCCTCTTAAAATCTCCTCAGGCCGTCTTGGGGGCCCCGTGAATCGTCTTGGGCCGTCTTGGAGGCATCTTGGGCCATCTTGGCGGCCTTGGTGGCATGCCTGGGACGGCTTGGGCACCATCTTGGGCGCCGTGGGCACCTTGGAGAGCCAGCGCTGGGCAGGCGGGGGACTCGAGAGGGGGGGGGGGGCGGGGCGGGCACAGGCGCGCGCGACGGGGTGCTGGAGGGGGGGGGGGTCCCTTTAGGAGACGACAGGAATCCCACCAGGCAGCACTTTGCATATTCTCCTGCGCCTCAGCGTGCCGGAGGGCATGGCGGCGGACAGATTGTCTCTTGCCCCGGCCCCTTCGCCAACATCGTGCCCCGCACCTCACCCAACGCCTAATCCGACGCCCAACCCGACGCCCTTCCCGACGCCCTACCCGACGCCCTACCCGACGCCCTACCCGACGCCCTACCCGACGGCCTTCCCGACCCCCTACCACACGCCCTCCCCGACGGCCTTCCCGACGCCCAACCCGACGCCCTTCCCGACTCCCTACCCGATGGCCTACCCGACGCCCTACCCGACGCCCCACCCGCCGCCCTCCCCGACGCCTTCCCCGACCCCCTACCCGACGCCCTCCCCGACGGCTTGCCCGACGGCCTTCACGACGCCCTTCCCGACGCCCTTCCCGACGCCCATCCCGACGTCTTTCCCGACGCCCAGCCCGACGCCCAGCCCGACGTTTCCTCCTGGCTGGCCGACGCCGCATCCGACGTATTTTCCCGGGGCTCCCACGCCGGGCGGAGTTGGCGGCGCGGCTGCTACTGGCGACCCCCGCCTGCAGAATGTCCACGGTGAGCGGTTCGATCTGATGTCCCCAAGAGGGGGTTCGCGCTGACGAGTCATTACTTTGCGTGCAGGCCGATGCACGCCGAATGGGTAGCTCCTGTGCGGACCTCGATTTCGTCGATGTTAATGTTACGGGGTCGTAGGCAGAGGCTAAGCAAGCTGGAGGGTGCCGTCGCGCCGTGTCATAACGTGCAGTCGAGACTCCAGATTGGGTTGCTTTTGGGAAGGTTGAACTGAAGGTCGTTGAAAGACGCGCCCAAAGTGGCATCGGCTAGTTGAATGTGCACGTGAAGCATTTGGGGCGAGCAGGGTTTGCAGTCGGTGGCTTGCTTGGAGAGGACGACCACGCAGAGGCAACGCTTCCTCCAGCGGGTTGTATCCACCATGTGGTTCTTGTGGAACGGAGCGGCAGGGATCCTTCCGCGTCGTCGGTTGCCATGGCAGTTTTCGCGTGATGCATAACCTGTTGCTTGCGGCACCTTTGCCGCCGTGCCAACGAAGCATCATATGTGGCGACTCTTCGACCACCGCCGGGCAGGCTGTTACATGCGACGCCGTTTCTTCTCGACTTCTCGAGCAGCTCTCAGGGGCTTGTGTGGGTCATCTTTTGGGCTGTCATGAGTACCGGTGGGGGACAATCCTGCGGGTCCTTTGGGGCCTTCTTGAGCCGTCTTGGGACCCTCTTTTGGTCCTCGCGGCCGTCTGGGGTGTCTCTTGGGGCCGTCGGCGTTCCAGGGGCCCTCTTTGGGCCGTCTTGATCGCTCTAGAAGCCCTTTTCGGCCAGCTTGGGGTTTCCGTTTCGCCGTCCTGGGCTGTCGTGGGGCCCTTTGGTGGCTTTCGGTGGGCGCTCCCGGTGTCTTCGAAGGCCGCAAACGAGTCGATCCGAATTGCGAGTTTGGCCTCCCGAGGGCCTCCTGGAGAGCGTCTGGGGGGTGCCTCTCGAGGCAATGCTGGGCCATCTTGGCGGCCTCGGTGGCCTCGCCCCCGCCGTCGCGGAGGCCTCGGAGAGTCTTGGCGATCGCCAGGGAGGCGTCGGGGCGGCCCAGGGAGCTTGGGAGGGGGGGGGCGGTGGCTATGCAGGCAAGTTGACGTGATGGGAGGGGGGGCCTCGGAAGACCACTGACTACTGATACCCTGCCGGGTAGAACTTGGCAGTCTACCGCGCCTCAACGTGCAAGGGGCCACGGTGGCGGACCACGGTTGCCGTGGCAGATTAAAGCAGATGCGTTAAGGGTAGCATGGTCGATCCAATACCGTGATTCCGTGCGAATGCTCTGCTTTATGGCTCTCCATCTGGCAAACTTAAAATCCCACGCCTGCCGCCGAGAGGGAGTAACAGACAAAGGAGGGAAGACAACATGCACTAACACAACATTGGTCGGCGATAGTAGGTTAATACTTCGGTCTTCACAGTGTCAGGAACGCATGTCAAGGTGTCTATTACGAATTGGTTCCGAACCTGCTCGAAAAATTACCCTGTGACGTACCCAACCCACTTGTATCAATGGAAACGAGGAGTTGGCAGAAATTTGCATGGACAATCAACTTGATGTGTAAGCTACTTGGGACACGCGCCTGTGGCATGATGCGCAGGAGAACCATACAAAAACGAGGGGCGACAGCTACAGGCTCGAAGAGGACATGGGGAGTCGGGAACGCAGAGCAGGAGAAAAATGTGCGGGAAACCTAACCATCAGCACGGCAACAGCAGAGGGAAGGTGACTGCAGGAGGAGAACAAGGACGAAAGCGGCGTCTAATTTGAGTCTGCGGTGGGTACCCACTGTGCTGTGCCCTTGAGCAGGCCTCGAAAGTGGCGACGGTTTCACAGATCGCAGCCCCCCAGGGATGGCGAGGTGTAGTTTGAGTTTGCGGTGGGTACCCACTGTGCTGGGCCCCATCAGCAGGCCTCGAAAGTGGCGACAGTTTCACAGATCGCAGCCCCCCAGGGATGGCGAGGTTTAATTTGAGTCTGCGGTGGGTACCCACTGTGCTGGGCCCCCCAGCAGGCTTCGAAAGTGGCGACAGCTTCACAGATCGCAGCCCCCCAGGGATGGCGAGGTCTAGTTTGAGTCTGCGGTGGGTACCCACTGCGCTGGGCCCCCCAGCAGGCCTTGAAAGTGGCGACAGTTTCACAGATCGCAGCCCCCCAGGGATGGCGAGGTCCAGTTTGAGTCTGCGGTGTGTACCCACTGTGCTGGGCCCCTCAGCAACCCTCGAAAAGGGCGGCATTTTCACTGATCGCGGCCCCCCAGGGATGGCGGGGTCTAATTTGAGTCTGCGGTGTGTACCCACTGTGCTGGGCCCCTCAGCAACCCTCGAAAAGGGACGACAGTTTCACAGATTGCAGCCCCCCAGGGATGGCGAGGTCTAATTTGAGTCTGCGGTGTGTACCCACTGCTCTGGGCCCCCCAGCAGGCATCGAAAGTGGCGACAGTTTCACAGATCGCAGCCCCCCAGGGATGGCGGGGTCTAATTTGAGTCTGCGGTGGGTACCCACTGTGCTGGGCCCTTTTCAGCAGGCCTCGAAAGTGGCGACGGTTTCACAGATCGCAGCCCCCCAGGGATGGCGAGGTCTAATTTGAGTCTGCGGTGTGTACCCACTGCGCTGGGCCCCCCAGCAGGCCTCGAACGTAGCGACATTTTCACAGATCGCAGCCCCACATGGATGGCGAGGTCTAATTTGAGTCAGCGGTGTGTACCCATTGTGCTGGGCCCGCCAACAAGCCTCGAAAGTGGCGCCAGTTTCACATATCGCAGCCCCCCAGGGATGGCGAGGTCAAAGGCAGGGGGGAAGAGAGGGCCGGGAAGGAAGGAAGGTGGGAAGGAAGGTTTGCGCGAGCAGTGCTTTATTCAAAACGAGAACCCAACGCAGGAGGGTTGGGAACAAACATGCATCGTGCACATGTGTTGCGTGCGTGCCCCCTCTGGGCTGGAACGGCTCGAATAGTAAAGCCACTCCTTCTGATGCACGTTAAAATCGCCGATCAGCAAACTGTCTACAGACAGTGGAGAATGCCACTCCCACGCAGTGAACAACGCCGGGAGACTACAACCTCTCAGTGACAGGGCGGCCGATACATGCAACCTAAGAGAACTGGGCCACAATCGGAATCGAATAGGCACCGAAGAAGTTCAGCCACGGACGAGCGAAGGAGAGGCAATAACATACGAGTATACGAAGATACAACCAATAACAAGACACCACGTCGATCTGTCGATTCGCGATCCCCGTGACCGAATCATTCGAGAGACCCGGATGCTGGCATGAAGAATCAAGCCAAGTCTCATTGAGAAAAACAACATTGGGGAAGAAAGACAACAAACGGAGACGGGCTTCGAGTTCTGATTTCTGCTTGTCAGAAAACCTTTTGAATATTCACATTTACAATGGTGAGATCGAAAGCTGCAAACAGCAATTTGAACACGAAAGCGCTGCAAACAGCATTTTGAGCACCGAAACGCTGCAAACAGGAATTTGAGCACGGAAGCGCTGCAAACGGATATGCGCTGCGAACAGCATTCTGAACACCTGGGAGTACCCGCTACACCTGGGAGTATCCCCGTCCCCGTACCCAGAATTCTGGATTCAGCGTTCCTGGTTCAGGCTCAGGGCTCAGGGCTCGAAATTCCGAATTCGGGCTTCAGAGTGCAGATTTCAGGGCTCAGGACTCGAAGTTCCGGATTCAATCTTCGGAGTGCCGATTTCGAAGTTAGGGCTCGGGCTCAGGGCTCAGGGCTCTGGGCTCAGGGCTCAGGGCTCAGGGCTTTGGGTTCAGGGCTCAGGGCTCAGGGCTCAGGGTTCAGGGCTCAGAGGTCAGGGCTCAGGGTTCATGGCTCAGAGCTCAGGGCTCAGGGTTCAGGCGCAGGGCTCAAAATTCCGGATTCAGGGTTCAGACTGCAAATTCCACGGCTCAGGGCACAAAATTATGGATGCAGGCTTCAGAGCGCAGATTACTGGATTCGGGCGGGCTCGGGCTACTCGGACTCGGGCCGTGCCCGTGCCCGTATCCGTACCCGTTGCCATTTCCGTATTCAACTAGTATATATGTATGTATGTATGTATGTGTATATAGATATCTGTGAATATATATATATGTATTATAATTTATTTTTTTATATATATATATATATATATATATATATATATATATTGTGCGTGATTGGACAAGCCATGCATCGACGATTCCCGCCTCAATTATTGAAAAGGCCTTACCTGTTGGCTTGTTGGTGTCGCGGACCTTGGAAGGCGACCTCCATCATGGTAGAGGAGATCGGAGGTGTTCGGGCAGGTCGGGATCAGATGTTCGCAAATGCCCTCGAGAGGCTTCACGAGGCTCTCAAATGGGGCCGAAGAGACCCCATGATGTTCCGGGGAGGCTTCCACGGAAGGTCCAAGAGGCCGAAAGAGGTCCCGGAGAGGCTACTTGCAGCCCCGTGATTGGACAAGCCAGGTCTCGACGGAGCGGTTTGTGATTCTTTCTCTCCTACCCCTCCTTTCCCTCATTCCTCCTACTCCCTCCCCCCCATCCCTCTCGTTCGGTAGCAATTCGCGGGAGCCTTGTCCTCGCAATTCCTGTCTGTTAAGCGCATCGGCGTGCGCTAGCGTTTGGTAGTCGATGAAAAACGCAGATTTCGCGTCGAGTAGCGTCCCTCTAGCGTCGACTAGCCTAGGTCCGCGCCGATTCGCAAGAGCCAGCACGATGACACGGGAGGCCGGCACGAGTTGCCACAGAATTTTCCTCGCCTTCCCTCCATTCCCCCTCCCCCTCCTCCCCTGCCTCCCGTTCCCCAACTCCCTCCGCCCCTCTGGAAGAGGGAAGTAGCTGGTGGGCACTCCCCCGGTCCCCCCAATTTCAAAGTTGGCACGCGCGGGGACGATTGCGGTCGAAGTGCAACTCATTCAACCCTCCGCCAACACCGATCATTGAGGAGGGACAGATGAGTGTGGCGCATGAGTGTTCGCTGAGTTCTGCCGAGGCCCCTCGCTCACCTCCCCCTTCCTGCTATGACAGAAAGGTGCCCTGAGAGTCTGAGGCAAGTTGGTTCTCCCCATGTCGGACCAGCTCGGGAGGAGGAGGAGGAGGCGGAGGGCGAGGAGGAGGGCGACGACAGGGGGAAGGTGGGGGGAGGGGCAGGATGAGGAGGGCGGGGGGAGGGGGAGGAGGAGGTTGAGGGGGCGGGGTGGAGAGGGAGGGAGGAGGGGGGGTCATCGAGAGGGAGAGGGAGAGGGGGGAGGAAGGGGGTGATGGGGGAGGATAGGGAGGCGGACGAGGGGGGGAGGAGGGGAGAGGGAGAGCTAAGCCGGGCGCGCTCGTACCATATCTGACCTCATACGTCTCTCACCCACCCTTTCCCGTGGCACTAAATTAGCCGCATGCCCCAGATAATCAATCCTACCCCCTTCCCCTTGTCCACCACTGAATTGATTATCTCTGGCCAAGACAGTTTTGGTCGGCGGTAGGCCGACGGGGGGTCCGAATTTCATTATCACCCGGGAACCCGGAACGTATGAATCGCATACGTAATATTCCTATCATGATTAACACTACCATTTTCATCATCATCATCACCATCATCATCACCATCGTCGTCGTCATCATCACCATCATTACCCGTATCATCCTCATCACCACCACAATTATTATTCACAGTAACATCATCATGATCATCATCACCACAGGCATAATCATTACCACCATCATCAGCAGCATCACCAGCATCAACATCAACATCAACATCAACATCACATCATCAGCATCATCATCATCATCATTCTCAGCATCCCCACCATCACTAGCAGTTTCTCATCATCAGCAGCAGCATCAACATCAGCATCATCATCAGCATCATCGTCATCATCATCAGCAACAACAACATCCGCATCAGCATCAACATCATCATCAGCAGCAGCATCATCAGCATCATCATCCGCGTCCACTCTGGCTCAAGCTATTTTGGTTTAGAACTGTTTTTGCCCACGCCTGTTGAGTTCTGGGCTTTTGCATAAACTGTCCCCTTTGCTTTGATTGTTTTTTTTGTGTGCGCCGATGGCCGTGATCCTGGCGATTCTCCTCGCCTGTGCCGTGCGCACAGCCGCATGGCGTTCCGAGGACACCTTGCCGGCCACGTCGTCGTTTGTAGAGTATGCTGGCAAGTTCTGCTTTGACTACACGCCCCGCGGCGCCGGCAACGAGACCGCAGGCACAGATGATGCAGGCCTTCTGGAGCTTCATGTCTGGGGCGAGGTAGAGCGTGCAGAGGATGCCGACCACGAGCTGTACTTCATGGTCTTCGACGACGAGTCCGAGCACTGGGGGCGCGTGCGAGGCCACCTGGAGGGTGCGAGCTGCGAGGAGCACCTCGCCGCCGCCACCCGCGCTGTGCCGCTCTCGCCTGGGCTCGCGGCCCCGCCCTTCGAGCTCACCTCGGAGCTGCTGATCAAGGAGCACATACGGCCGAGGTTCTGGCACTTCTAGGGGGCCACCTGCGAACCCCCACCCCTACCCCCCACCGTTTCGGAGGGGGAGGGTGGGGTTCACTTCGCTTGGGAGCTCCCGAACGAAGTGAACCCTTTGAACTGCTGATCAAGGAGTAAGTCGGGCTGTCCCTCTAGAGGAGAATCAAACAATAAATAATCTGGGGGCGTTGTTTCGATTATTCTCGGCCATCTTTGTGTATGTTTGGTGTCTTTGTTTATTTGTCGTGCAACATCCGCCTGTAGGGGACATGCCCGCCCCCAAATCAAGGAGCACATACGGCCCAGGTTCTGGCACTTCGAATTCGTGAACTGCGGCCGGGGCGTGGCGCGGCCCCTGTCCTACTCGCTGCACGCGCGGAACACACACCAGGGTCTCCAGGCCGAGTTCGGCATGAACGAGCACGGGTCGCTGTCGGCGAGCGCTTGCTTCGGGCTGCTCTTCTGCGCGCTCCTCGGGGCCGCCTGGGCCAGCAGGAGGGGCGAGAGCCGCTCGCGGCCTCTCCTCCGCCTCCTGGAGGGCTCGGCCGTCTGCTCGGCCGCGGGCTGCCTCTGCATCGCCCTCAGCCATGCGGCGTTCGCCCAGGACTCGAAGACGGAAAAACTGCATAAACATAAACTTTTGGCGCCCCGCGCGGATTTCTTGGATCCGCGCTGGGGCCCCCTGGCGGCGCCTCCGGTGCCCTCCCTGTCGCGCTCCGCGCGCCAGGGAGGGGGGTCAAGCGCAGATCCAAGAAATCCGCGCGGAGCGCCAAAAGTTTATATGTTTATGTTGTTTCTTCTTCTTCTAAGGACGGCAGGGAGCTCGTCCTGCTCAGGGTCCTCGGCGTGCTCTGCGCCTGCGCCGCGAAGGCCATCCTCGTCCTGCTCCAGTTCTTGGTGGCGAAGGGCCTGGCGCTGGTCTACGGAGAGGAGGAGCAGCGCCTCCGCGCGGGGATCACGGCCGCGCTCGCCGCCATCTTCCTGCTGTCGGTCGGCTGCGAGATCTACGGGGAGTTCTTCCGCGACCAGAGCGCCAGCCTCTACCTCTACGAGTCCTGGCCCGGCACCCTCATCCTCGGCCTCAACCTCTGCCTCCTGGGTGCCGCCTGGGTGTCGACGTGGGACTCGTACTCCAAGGAGTCCGCGAGAGAGGTCCGCGCCTTCTACCGCCTCGCCTCGGTGGCCAACGGGGTCTACTTCGCCTCGCTGCCCGCCGTGTGTCTGCTGGCGATCAGCCACGCGCAGAGGGGGCTGGGGGGAGGGGGAAGGCTTCTTAGAGGCACCCCTGCCTGTTAAAAGGTGCGGGCCCTATCTATAGATGCAAGGCTGGCGCCTTCTAATAAGCATCCGTCTAAGAAGCCCCCCCTCCCTCCACCTTCTTGTGCGCGCCGCCAAGGCGAGCCTCCTGTCTCCGTGGGTGCGCTCGAAGTACGTCGAGAGGGTGGAGCTCACGGCGCGCCTGGCAGCTTCGGCCCTCTTCTTGCTCTGCCTCTGGCCCTCCCGCCTCGACGCGCTGGTCGGGGCCCGCCCCTCCAAGGGCCCGGCGCCGCTCGACTTCGAGGAGAGCGCCGACGAGGATCGGGGGCGGCCAAGAGGGGGGTGATAACTAGGGGAGGGTGGATATCATGGCGTGGGCCATGAAATTCCCCTGATCTCATGGCGCACCTTCTTGTTTCAATACGTCCCCGTCCCCCCCCCCCTGGGCCGCGCACATGCCGCCGGCCATGATTTGCGCCCCCCCTCTTGCACGCCCGCCTCTTGGCCGTCCCCGAGAGGAGGAGGGCAGAGCGCTGGACGACTCCGAGCGGGAGCACCTGGACGAGCGGGGCGCGCCCCTCCTGTGATCGGCCGGCGGCGAGCAACGGGGGGGGAAGCGAGAAGGGGCAGGCCCTCTCAGAAGGCGGCGGGACTTCTCAGAAGCCCCTCGCGCTCTCTGCAAGTTCTTTTCCCCTGTCAGCGGGGAGGGCTCAGACAACCTCTCGGGAGGCCAGGCGACTTCCGGGCCTTCTGAGAGGGCCTTCTCCTTCGGACTCCGCCCTCTCGCTCGCGGCCAAAGCAGAGCGGAGGCGTGGGCCGCGAACCGCCCCCCGGCGAGGCGGGTCGCCGAGGGCGGCTCGGCGGCCCCCCGGTCCGTGGCCTCCTGGGCTCCGAGCGCGCCCGTGGTGCATGTCCCTGTCGACCGAAGTGCGAGGTTTGCTGTCTGCCGCTCGGGCGTGGGCCAGGCGAGCGACGCAAAACATCGGGGTCGTTTTCGCCGATATTGGCGCGTGAACTGCCCGCGTGGGGTCTCTCGTAAGCGCCCTCGTTTCCAGTGCAGCGTGCGGGGCGGGCGGCCCGCGTAGGCTGCGGGATAGGGTCGCTACGCCACCTCGCGTTGAGACCGACCCGTTTTTGATCGTCGCTCTGATGTGTCTTCTCGCCCCCACACGAAGACAGCGAGCCGTTGCGTGGCCAGGATCACGTGTCTGCCCTGCCAGGCCGTGGTTGGCCAATGGCCCACTCCGCGTGTCCGCCGAATTCGTCGCCGATGAGCAGTACCCGCAGCCAAGGTCTCCTTCTCCCCCTTAACGGGTCCCGATCCTCCCTCCCCCCCCGTACTCTCCTCCAGCGCCGGCTGCTCGAGCCTGGACTATTGGTCCGTCCTGCCGCTCTCGCGCCGCGCCGCCTTGAACCGCTGCTCCAAAGGTCAGACATTCTGATTTGCAGCCTCGGTCATATGTGCCATGCTGTTTAGTGCCTGCCACGACTGCAGTCGAAGGGGCCCGACAACAAGTTGGGCTTGCTTTTTTGAATTGAGGTCTGAGAGACCAGCAGGTCGCCCAGGAGGCGCATCATCATCATCATCATCATCATCATCATCATCATCATCATCATCATCATCATCATCATCATCATCATCATCGTCATCGTCATCGTCATCGTCATCATCATCGTCATCGTCATCAGCATCATCATCTTCATCATCATTAACAAAGCAACAGCATCATGTGTGATATGTTCCGCAGGCCATTCGGCTCTGGACTTCTAGCTGGGCACGGGCGCTCAATTGTCTGATAAGTGGCCCCGCAGCAGAGCCGCCGTGTGGAGCAGGCAGAAAGAACGAGGTGGCAGCAGTGCCATCGATTGGTTTTGTCGCAGAACGATTATCCGATCAAGGCTGTCGAGTAGTCTGGTTTGCAGCGGCCGTCAGGTTCATCAACCCACGCGTTTTATTTCACATCCATTCCACTTGCCCTTACATATTCAAGCGTGACTTTTGCACACAGGTTTGTCTGGATGTATTAGTTTTGGTGCGAGGGTTTTCTCCTCTACCTTCTCTTCGCGACTACGCTTGTGACGCACATCCCTAAAGCGCGATTGGGCCGAGGAGACCGTCGTCATTGCGAGTGTACCTTCTCTTTAGAAGCGTGCTTGTGCCGTGCACGTCTGGAGCGCAAGGGGGCGTTTGTGTGGTTTCCAGCGCTGGTCTGTTTAGCGGGTGAAGTTTCTAACGGTGCCTAACGGTGAAATGGCCACGTCCCACGGTGAGTAGCACGTGGGCCAGCAAGTCATTCAGCCAGCTCGATCGCACCTTTTCTCATCCAGGTTGCAGGTCCCCCTCCATTGTTGCTGAATGGGTGCGTGGTCGGATATTGATGAGCGATGTCGCGTGCCTATGCGAAACATTGTTTCACATTTTGCAAGCCACAATTCCAGATTACTTGCGTGTTGGACGTTATGGTCGAGCAGGTCAAGTCGTGCTGGCGCTTTTGGCTCGGGGCATGGCGTTCACCCAACGTCGCGCAGCCCTACCGGCTCCAACGCGTCCACGGTGGACTCGCCGGGCCCTTTTGGCAATGCCGAGCGAGATGGCGTACCACGTCTACCATGGCGCGTGGGGGTCGCATGAGTTTCAGCAAGGGAATCTCCTCCAGTCAGTTGGTTCAGGCGCAGCAATGCCCCTATTGTTCGGCCACGGTGGTCTCTATATCTGCAGTTCGAACGTTGCTCGTGCTAGAGGTCGTCCAGGACTCCTTGAAACGTGTGCTGAGATCTACAGAGCTTTGCTTGGATTTCAGGAGCGCTGTGATTCAGAGTTACTTCGGTGTGTCCCTCTACGCAAGTCTGTTGGTAGCGTCGGTTTCTTCGCAGTGATTTGGTGCTCCACGAAGCCCCAGGCGCTCGCGGTAGAGCGGGCTCTCTTTCAGACGCTTCGCCCAGGCAGCAATGGTTCATATTCCGGGTTACTTCCAGTACGTTCGGCGGCAAGGTTTCCACATTCGCCCTGATCGCGCGGAGCCTCGTGGTCGTCCTTTTCCACGCTTCAGGCCACGGGCTACAGGTTCAACGTGGGCCACCACGATATGTCCGGACGCGCTGCGCAGAACCGCCCCGGCCATCCACGCATCCGTTGAAGATTCGCGGCAGCTTTAAGAAGCTCTACCTGTTCCACTCGCAGCGCTGGTTTCCCTCGATCACTAGCCCAAAACATACCCGGACCCGGGGTCAGCTGGGGTGAAAAGGGCCGCCCGCTAGAGCGTTTTCGGCCTTGCCGCCACCTCGTCTGGGTACGGGTCGGTGCCCGAAACAACCATACATACCCGGACCTAGCTGGGGTGGTGGTTGGGACACCCCGTCTAGGTACGGGTATGTATGGTGGTTTCGGGAGCCGACCCGGACCCAGGGGGGGTGATGCCCCGAGGGCCCCTTGCCACCCCGTCTGGGTAAGGGTACGGGTATCTTTCGCGCTCGAGACTCGACCGGCATGTTTGGCCGGCTCTACTTGTTGGACCGTAGCCTGCCGTGCCTCGACATGCGCTTAGCGCGCTGTGGCTCCAAGAATGCGAAGATTACGTTTTCCTCGCCCTGGTTCTCGCGGCAGAAGGAAGAGTGCATCTATGAGCTCGCGTAGGGGAATCAAGACGCGCGCGGGCGGCTGCCCATGTCAATCCGCAGCGAAAGCGCATCAGAATAGGCTGTGTCAACGCCTGAGTTCACCGCCGGTCTCAGTCACTCCAGTCACTATTCCACGTGAGTTGGCTCGGCGTCTACATTTTCTCCGTCGCCAGTTTCAAGTGGCATTGCAGGAAGTGCGATGTGAACCTGCTCGTCGGTGGCTCTGTGACCGTCTCAGCGCGCCCCCTGCGAAAGGGCGCAGTTTGGGCTGGCAAGTTCCGCCAGAAACTCTCGGCCAATGTGCTGCGGCGCCAAAGTTGGCAGCCCGCTCTGGGCCGTGGAAGTTTTCCAGCGTGGCCGTCTCTTCCTCGCCTTCGTCAGATCATCAGATGCCGCGAACTGCCTAGCCCGCGCGGGGGCCACGCTAGGAGGAGTCGGCTTGCAGGGGGGGCCGGGCGCGGGGGGGGCGCCAACGACCGCGCCGATTCCATCGCGGCCCGCTGCCCCTTCCCGGGACTCTCAGGAATCCTCTGGGCCCAGTCGGCCTCGCAGTCGGCGCCGGCGTCGCGTCGCCCGCGAGCGCCAGCTGGCGGGCGGGCCGACCTTGTTGCGCATGTTCGGCGCGAGAGACCCGCGCGGGCCTCGCGCTGTGCCCGCGCCCCAGGGCGGCGGCCCAGGCCCTTGTAGCCTCCCGCGCTGACGCGATGGCCTCGCGCGCGGCGCAGGAGCGGGCGCCGCCGACCGTTCGGTTCGGTTCCGCGCACTTCTCATATGCGACAACGCAAAGCCCCCCATGCTGCTCGCGCGCTTTGCGCGCTGAGTAGCATGGGGGCGACGGCCGCGCGTTCAATGGGAAGCCGCAGACCAAGTTTCCATTCCCGCGCGCGAGGCGGGGCATGAACTTACAGATGCGCCGACGGTCGAGAACTCGCTCGCGCGCCCGCGCCTGCGATGTTGGGCGTGCGCACTGGGCCCGGAAATCTGCGGTTCGGCCGCCCATGCGCCCCAAAAATCGCCCCGCCCCCCCCCCGCCCCCCTCCCCTTCCAAACTCTTCCGCGCTCCTGGAAAAACCATGCCGCCGAGGCGGGAGCTCGGGCCGCGGCCCGACGGCCCCCGGGGCACAGGGGAATCAAAGGAATCAGTACGGAATCAGTGCAGAATCAAAACAGAACCGGCACAACTGCGACCCCTGATTCTAGCGGAATCAAAAGAATCAGTACGGAATCAATGCGGAATCAAAGCAGGAATCGGCGATGGAACCAGAATCGGCCAGAACGGGGAAGTAGGCCAGAATCGGTCTCAGAACCCATGGAGAGAGGCTTTTTTTCCCGCGAGTTCATTGCGGCGGGACCGCGGCGCGGGCGCGCCGCGCGACTTCGCTGGTTCAGCGAGGCGCGCAGTCGGCGGTCAGGGTGAACAGGTTGTTTTCAAGGCGATATCCTGGCGGCGCGCTGGCGCATTGCGCATTTGCGTATTCCTGGCGGGCTGTTTGAGGGCGACCCGGCAGCGTCGGCCGAATGGCCCGCAAATGCCACGCGGCCGATCGCGCGCCCCACGCGGTCACGTCGACCGCCGTGTGCCGCGACGGCCGCGCGCCCCGGACCGCGCCATTCCCGCGTTGGATTGGACGGCGCAGCGCCCGTCCTCCAAAAGTCGTTACATGCATATCGCGCGTGTCGAGCCAGCAGCAATCGCTCCCAGAAGCAGCCTTGACAGGCGCCCCATGCCCGTTGTCGCCCGGTTCCGATCCAAATCATAGTTTCTTAGGATGCGCTTGCGCGAATGCGAGCGCGCGGGCAAGTAACGCGTGCGCGCGCTCGGCGCAGCCTGGGAAATCTTACATGGAGCCCCCCGGGGGCGCGGGGCGCCGGCGACGCTTCTGCCCGCCTCCCGCGCGCCCGACCCCCCCCGCAAGCCGACTCCTCCTAGGCCACGCCATGGGCTGCACCCTCGAGTTCAGCGTCGCATTCGTCGTGCTCTCGGCTAGGGGCGGGCTGAATAGGAGGGTCCACAGTGGAGGGCCGCTTTCAAGAGATCACGCGCCTTCGCGGAGCTTTGGCTTGGGGCGATCGTGATCTCACCAAGGCGCTGCCTATCGAGCGCGGCGCAATTGGTCCGCGTTTAGTTGGCGAGATGTTGGCCGACGCGTCCTTGCGGCGGCATCGCCCGCAGCTGCGCCCGCCTGGTGTTCTTGCTTGGCATGGGGCTCGCGGCCGCGCGGGCCGCCCGGAGTCCTTGGCCCGCTGGCGAGGCTTCCCGAGCACGAGCGCCTCGCCGCCCGCGCTCTTCCCTTTTGTCAAGTTGAAGTGGTTCTCTGACTGTGGCGAGTGGAAGCGCGGTCGCCCGCCGCATTCATGCGCGCGCGGATGCGTCGCCCATCCCTTTCGCGAAGTCTTGGAAGGTCATCGGAGGGGCCATTCGGGCGGCCCTCGGAATCTCGAGTTGGGCACGAGATCTTGAACATCAGCGACGTCGGCAAGCTTCTGAAGAGGGACCTGCAGTCGATGGCAGCACCTGCTTCCGATGGGCGCTGCTCGCGACGCGGCTGTCAGCTGCGCGGCCGCCGGCAGGCGTCGACGTTCGATGTGGACCAGGCGTTCGAGAGTTGCCGCAGTGACAATTCAATGCCAGCACGGTTGTGGCTCAAGGCTCGTTTTCGCGCAGTCACAGGTGCCGGCGCAGTTCTGATCGCTAAGGGCAAGCATAACATGGCCTTAGCAGCCGCGCGTTCCTAGAGTCGGGTCTGATGGGCCCTGTCCTTGGAAATCTCACGATGGGCCTTACTAGCTGGCCACGCGCGCAGTTTTGTAACGATCGGGAACCTCGTCTTGGGGCTTCCGGGATTGTGTATCGGCGGCTATATAAATAGTGTTGCTGCCTCGGTCCGCTTTGCACATGAGGAGTTTCAAATGATGGGGTGGTGGTGGGGCGGGGGGGGGGGGGGGGCGGGGCTGGAAGCTTTTGAGAGCCGTTGTGATCCTCCTCTCGGGGCCGCACTTCAGTGGCGCAGGTGCGTCGACGACGCGAGGCCCCTTAGTTCTCGCTATTGCCCAGGGCGCGCGCAGGTCTTCGCGGGGAACATATTTGCTGAACCCGTGTCGGTCGTGTTCTAATCATCGGGATCTTTGGCTGCATATGCGGCTGGTTCTTTGCATCCCATTTGCGAGGTATTCCATTGGGCCAACTTAGAGTTTCACCTGTACTCGAGGCCCCTGAGCTGGATTCCAAAGAACCAACGGCGTCCGTGGATGCACGGGGCTTCGGGCAGTCAGCATAGCGTTCTGATCCCGTGGCCTGGTCGGCCACCATGCTTGTTCGCACGCGTTCGAGCACCGCTCCTGAGCAAGTTGACCGCTGCTCGCCCGGCGTGCTTGTCTCGGGCTTTGATGTCGGTTGTCATGTTCGAGCATTCGCTGGAATTGCTGAAGTCTGGGTGCCCCATCGGTTGCTTACCAAGTTCATGTTATCATTGCCACCGTCGCCATCTGCGCTCAGTGTTCGGCGGCTGCGTATGCCCCAAGTTCGGTGCGCTTCTCGCGCTCAACGGCGGCGGCCTCTCGCAGCAGGCAAAGGTGGCAACGGAGAAGGCGACGGAGGCAACGGCGAAGGATGTGGCAATGGGAAGGGATATGGCAATGGCGCCCGTCCGCGTGAGCAGGCTCGCGGATGGGGCGATCGCCCAGGTGGCCGTCGCGGAGGTCATGGCGATCGCGGCCGCGACGACCGCGACGGCGATCGGAGCTGCCGCCGCCGCCGCGACGACCCGCCCGGCGCGGAAGAGGGGGTCCGCCGCGCCGAGCGCCCCCCTCGCCAAACGCAGCCCGCAATTTGCCCGCTTCCAGGAGCCGGGGCAGACCGAGTACCGCAACGAGGAATTCATGCGCCAGGGTTGATCTTGGCGGGCGCTGTCCGTTCGCAGCTCAACCAGGCTCTCTCGGCGACCGCAGTGCCTGCGGGACCCGCTAGTTCGGCTTCGGCGGGGTCGGCGGGCCAGTCCTTCCCGCCGCAGCCGCCGCCGACAACCTGCGTCACCCTCACAGAGAAGGCCAGAATTTGGACGGCGCGCTCTCGCCCGCGCAGAGGTGCATCACCATGGCTATGCGGGGCCCAAACTGCCAGAGGGAGACGGGCACCGTCAAGGTGGTGAACGGCTTCATCGCCCAGTCGTGGGCGTCGAACCCGAGCGCGGCCAAGCGGCTTAACGGCTTCCCCAAGGCCAACTTCGACGGCGACCCGCCCTGTGGCTAGAAGGAACGGATTCAGTACTTCTGGGACGTGCTCCAGCAGCTTGACTGAATCGGCGATGCCATACTTCCAGAAGGTTCCGGTTCAGATGGCTTTGCCGAGTTGATGGCAATGGCCTATTCGTCTACCCCTCGTGCTTCCTGCAGCTCGGGGTGGTATTCGTGCGATTCTTGGGTGAGTTCATCAGCGGAGTGGCCCAGAGGTCGTGAAGACAGGCGAGTGCGTGCGGGTCTTGTCTGGCCCTTCTGAGGCCAGCTTCCGTTCATCAATTGTGTTGGTCTTTTCCGCGGGCGTTTCGGCTCTGGACTTCTACATGGGCACGGGCGTTCAGCCATCTGAGACGTGGCCCCACAGCAGAGCCGCCGTGTGGTGCAGAAAGAAAGAACGAGGTAGCAGCAGTGCCATCAATTGGTTTTGCCGCAGAAGAGAATCATCATCATTGTCATCACCACCGTCAGATCATCACCAGCATCATCATCACCACCACCATCATCATCATCACCGCCGTCGTCGCCATCGACATTTTCAGCATCACCATCCGCATCATCACCATCCGCGTCATCATCATCATCCTCATCATCATCCTCATCCTCATCCTCCTTAGCCCATCCTCGTCTTTTCTTGATATTGATCATCATCCTCAATATCGTCATGATGCATTATCATGAGGATCGTCGCCATCACCATCATCCTCATCAGCATCACCATCATCATCATCATCATCATCATCATCATCAGCGCCCTCATCATATGTTTTCCCATCTTCAAAAAACTGCCCTCCGTTACAAGGATGGAGGCGATGTTGCTGTAGCTTTCCTCCTCCTCCTGTTCATCCCCCTGCTCTTCCGCTGCAGCTCTTCGAGCTGATCCTCCCCCTCCCCCCCGCCCCGTAGCCGGTCGAGGCCCAGAGCGCGTTCCGACCATTCCCTCCTGAGGGACACCCCGAATTCTCCGAACGACTCCGTTCAGTCCCCCCCTCTCATTTATTGATGGTGGAACCTGCCGAGGAACGCTTATTACACCCACCCCGGAACCCCGAATTTTGTTAGCCCCGCTCTGTGATTGTCGGGGGCATTATGTCTCTGCTGCGTGCGCGGGGCGTCTCCGAGGAATTCGATCCCTTGACCGACCCGACCCCATCGTGTGATGCACCATCGGACCGGGGGCTCGCACAGTGGAGGAAGACGATGACGCCTTGTGCGTGCTTTAAAGCACGACAGGGGAGGGGACGCAAAGTGGCACATCGGCATGGGGGAGAAAAACGTCGCACTCACATGGTGTGATTGTTCAATGGGGCAAGGGGCAAGAAGGGTGGGTGGGAGGAGGCGGCAGAGGGGGGAGGGGAGGGAAGGGTGGGGGGAGGGGGAGAACTAAGAGGAGGAAGGGGGGGGGAGCGGAAAACTAGGAGGAAGGAAAGGGGGAGGGGGAAATTGGGAGGAAGGATGGGGTGAGGGGAACACTAGGAGGAGAAGGGGCAGGCAGAGAGCGGAGGGGAGGCCGAGGAGGAGGAGGAGGAGGAGGACGACGACGATGACGACTCTCTCCTTGCCGTTGTGTTCTCAGGAGGCTCCTGTTGGCTGTTGGCGTTGCGGTGATCGTGATGGGGCGAGACGACGCTGGGACGACGACGTAGCCACGACGAGGACGAAGCGACGTCAAAGCTATGAGATCCCAGCCGTCCGCCAGCGTGACTCAAGGCCGACGGGGCTTCCCTCTCTCGTGCCGTGCAGCCCGTGCTGGCACGGCCGTGCTCGGAGGCCTCGCGCCACGAGGGCAAGGCCCGCCTGCTGAAGGACGCCATGGGGGAGCGGGGGGGAAGGAGAGGGGGAGTTCGAGGTCGCGGGCCTCGGAGGTCGAGGGTCGGGCGCCCGCCCAGCCCCCCCCTCAGGGGAGGGGGAGGGGGAGGAGGAGGAGGAGGAGAGGAGGAGGAGGAGGAGGAGGAGGAGGAGGAGGAGGTAGGAGGAGGAGGAGGAGGAGGAGGAGGAGGAGGAGGAGGAGGAGGAGGAGGAGGAGGAGGAGGAGGAGGAGGAGGAGGGAGGAGGAGGAGGAGGAGGAGGAGGAGGAGGAGGAGGAGGAGGAGGAGGAGGAGGAGGAGGAGGAGGAGGAGGACGGAGGAGGGAGGAGGAGGAGGAGGAGGAGGAGGAGGAGGAGGAGGAGGAGGAGGAGGAGGAGGAGGAGGGAGGAGGAGGAGGAGGAGGAGGAGGAGGAGGAGGAGGGAGGAGGAGGAGGAGGAGGAGGAGGAGGAGGAGGAGGAGGAGAGGAGGAGGAGGAGGGAGGAGGAGGAGGAGGAGGGAGGAGGAGGAGGAGGAGGAGGAGGAGGAGGAGGAGGGAGGGGAGGAGGAGGAGGAGGAGGAGGAGGGAGAGGAGGAGGAGGAGGGGGGGGGAGGAGGATGTTATGAGGAGGAGGGAGGAGGGAGGAGGAGGAGGAGGAGGAGGAAGAGGATGAGGAGGAGGAGGAGGAGGAGGAGGAGGAGGAGGAGGAGGAGCTGGCTGCATCTGCTTTTCGGTTTGGGGGCCTCTTGGCGAGGCATCGTCGCCACGGCTGGATTCGCGGTCATAATGCGCGCCAGGAGAGTCCGTGGGCAAAATTGTGGGAAGGCTGGGATGAAGGATGAGGGATGAGGGGAGCCCGAGTTGCATTCGAATCTGGCTTGCAGTGCAACTTGCACGCGGTAAATTTGCCAATTATCCGTAAGGGCTTCGCCCCCTGCCGCCGGCCCCCTCTCTCGGAGAATGGGCCATGGAAGAGCTAAGTCATGAGGCCTTGGCGCTGTCGTGAAGCAGTATCGAAACTTCATGCGAAGCCGAGTCGCAATCAGCAAAACCAACTGATCACAAGAGGGGTTACCACACCTGGCGATTGGTAAGACGTGTATGGTTTAAGGGCTTGGTTACCACACCTTGCGATTAAAGGGCCGAGGGAGTTCTCGCAGTTTGGGTTACCACGCCTTGCGATGGATGTGCGTGATGGGTTCGAATTTCAGAAATGTGGCAAATCCCATGTGTTTTTGGACCCTGACCCCGCGGATCTGCGTGAGGGGTGGCACCGAATTTCAGAAATGTGGCAAATCCCCTGTGTTTTTGGACCCTGACCCCGCGGATCTGCGTGAGGGGTGGCACCGAATTTCAGAAATGTGGCAAATCCCATGTGTTTTTGGACCCTGACCCCGCGGATCTGCGTGAGGGGTGGCACCGAATTTCAGAAATGTGGCAAATCCCCTGTGTTTTTGGACCCTGACCCCGCGGATCTGCGTGAGGGGTGGCACCGAATTTCAGAAATGTGGCAAATCCCATGTGTTTTTGGACCCTGACCCCGCGGATCTGCGTGAGGGGTGGCACCGAATTTCAGAAATGTGGCAAATCCCATGTGTTTTTGGACCCTGACCCCGCGGATCTGCGTGAGGGGTGGCACCGAATTTCAGAAATGTGGCAAATCCCTGTGTTTTTGGACCCTGACCCCGCGGATCTGCGTGAGGGGTGGCACCGAATTTCAGAAATGTGGGAAATCCCATGTGTTTTTGGACCCTGACCCCGCCGATCTGCGTGAGGGGTGTAGATTTCGAGCCCCCCCAGCAATTCAGACAACGCGCCCAGGGGTTGCTAAAAAATTCTGTTTGGGCCTCCACCCCCCCTCGCGCGGTCAATCGACTAGTTACAGTAACCAGCAATGAGTCAACTAGTTACAGTAACCAGCAATATGCAGAATTGTAACACTGGACACTACAAACTACAACTGGTACAGGAAACTGCGAATCACGCGCCTCGCAGCCTGGTGGCCCCACAAGGGGGCCGGCGGATTCCTAATGGTGAATGGTTGTTTCTTGTTGTGGTGGAAGTGAAGAAGTTTAGTAGCCGTTCGTGCTTACAGTCAAAAACCCTAATATGGACGCGCGACTTTGCTCAGGGTACCCTTGCGTCCTTGTTTTCTCTTGCTCTTGCGTCCTTGAGGTGTTCGTCGTCCGCCGCCCCAACAATCCCAACTTCGGCTTCCAAGGGTCTTGCGTCCTTACCGCGCGTCCTTATTGAATTGGTGTGGGCCTTCGGCAGCTCTCTGTCATCGGCCATGCTCTCATCCTCTTTCGATATTCCTGCCTGCTCCGGCTTCCCCATCTCCTCGTGTTCCTCCCTCCTCCCTGTTGAGAGCACATTGGGGTCTTGCCGGGGCGTCATTTGAGGTACCTTTGTGTCTTCTTGGAGCGTGTTCGAGGGACCGAGGGGAACCTGTTGGGGACTGATAAGGCGTCTTTGGGACCACTTGGGCGCGGTGGTCCTACGGAACTCTATTGAGGCGTCTCTCTAGGTGTCATCTTGATGTGGTCGGGTCGTGAGGACGTCTCGGAGCTCACTTGGGGCGGTCTCGAGGGGTTCTTGGGGCGTCGCAAGCTGCTTCTTCAGGCCCTCTGGGGTCGTCCTGGGGCGCTCGGCGGAATTCTGGAGCTCATCATATGACGAACAGCCTCAGCAACCACGACACCATTCTATTCCTTGTGTGTTTCAGTGCGCGTCGCTTCCCAGGGCCTTGCCAGAGGGATCACTGGGCGCCTCTCTCGAGGGGGTTAGGCGGGCCTCTTTGCTCCGTCTTGAAGCTTGGGTGCACTGGGGCCCCTGCAGGCACGGCGCGGCTCGTCCTTGCGGCGTGGGCGGGTCGTCCCGTGCATGGTGCAGACATGCGAGGCGGGGGTTTACGCACGACCACCGCCCGGAGGATCGATTCTTGGCGACCTCGGGAGGTGGTGGATGTGGATGCAGTCGGGCCTCGGGGGCCAAAGTATGTCCGTGTCGACCGCCCGCTCGGGCATCGCGACGTCGGTTCCCGGGTGGTGGGTGAGGATCCGTCCCCGCCCTGCAAGACACGAGGAAGGTTGTTCGACTCAGCATGCCTGGAATCTGTTTGCGTTGTTGATCATCGCGATTGCCGCCGCGCTTCGGGAGGCAGCGTGGCCGTGCTGCCACGCGGCGTGCCTGCGGTCTTGCACAGCCGTTGCGTTGGAGATTGAGGATCTCGTGTCGGGACAAGATCGGTAATGAGGCGGACGAGGGGGCAGAGGAGGACAAGAGGATGGGCTTGAGGAGGAGGTAGATGGGATCAGGAGGGGGCAGTGGGACAAGGTATTGACATGCTTGGGCGAACTAGGTTTGCGGGACAGAACAGAGTGCGGGACAGAACAGAGACAACGGTTAAGAACGCGCAGCCACACGAAAGAGCTCTTGCGATCTAGCTCTGCAAGAAGGGATCGGCGATGTGCCCCCCCATGTACGATCGCCACGCAGCGAAAAGAGCATGAAGGAGATTCGATCGCCTGGGGGTGTAAACACATCCATATGGACGAACACCAAGTATGCGCGCAGGTTCGTTTCCAGATCCAGCTGGGCGCGGCGCGGGCCGATTTCGATGAGCATTCGACATGCGGATCCGAGCCGGCGTAGAACAGTTTAGATGTACAAGCTTGTTGTTCTTGGTAAGTTGACAAATCGTTTGTCTTCTTTGTGGCTCAGCGTTGCTGGGCGTAGGTGGTTCGGTAGCTTCCATTGCCAGTGCTTCCGCGCCATTCGGGGGATTGCTCCCGCCTCCATCTTGAGGGTGAGCAACGCTGCATGTCTTTGCGAGACAGGGCAGACCCTTGTGATGGACGCCACGCCACGGCAGCAGCTCCTCCTGGGAACAGCAGCAACGGCACCAGTGGGGAGCGTGATGAGAGAATCCACATTCTGTCCAAAGCCTTTCTGGCCAGATTCTTAAGGCCTCTCTCCCTTCTCTTCATCTGGTTTCGCCAGTCCGCTGCCGTGCTTGCTCCCCCTTTGTTATGAGGAAAATCCTGGAGGCCTCGCGAGGCGCGTAATAGTAGTTTTATCTAGTCCACGTCAGCTCCGTACGCCGTAAGCTATGGGTCGACGCTCGCGCGGCGATGCTCTGGAGTCAGTCCGACGTAAACCGGATGTAATTCCGACGTGAACCCGACGTAAATCCGACGTGGACCCGGCGTAGAGCGGGTCTCGAATGCCGCGCGAGGTCTCCAGCATGTTCCTCATAACCTGTTTCTTCCGAAATTCGAGTGTTTTCACGTGTCGGGCCCTGGAAGACACTCGTTCGACATTGTTTCGACACTTTTCGGGGTGCTCGAACTTGTTTCTGGGTTGTGGTCTTTACGTACGATGGGCGCCACATAATGCGTCCTCTTCCCCTCGCCTCCCCACTCTCCTCCCCCCACCTCTCCGGCTCCTCGGTTCTGTTGCCCGGGCCCCGCCCTGGTGCGGCCGATTGCGGCGCGGCAAAATGCGCACAATGTTTTCAGCATTGGTGTCCTGTGAGCTTCTGGATGTAGATTTGAAGTCGGACGTGTCCCTCTACATGATGAATCTTCAAGCATGGTCAACAAATAGTCAGGGGACGATGTTTGTTTAGTTCTGGCTATGTTTGACTAGTGTTTGGCTATTTTCATTTTTCGTCCACACTCCGCCTATAGGAGTGCATGCCCGACCTAAATGTAGATGTGTGTTTCTTCTTCGCTTTGGGATCATCCACAGATCACCAGCTCTTGTTGTCGTAGACAGGCAGGGTACGAATCAAGGCCATTGCAAGGTCGGGCGTGGACTTCGTTCGAGTGCCCTGTCTTAGCACAGTGGTAGAATACAAGTACTGCATGCTACTGCTGAAAAATAACATTCCGACGCTTGAAATGTTACCACTGCAACGCTACAGTATTCGAATATGACAACAGTGCTTCGGTACTACGGTAGTGAAACATCCCCAGTCATAGTAGTGTTGTGCTTGCACCCGTCCCTGTGCCTCCCAAAACCAAACAGAAAGCAATCGTGCACAGCGTTTGGCGCCTTCGGTTCAAGGACATGCTGTGTATGTGTGGTTGGTTTGCTGTTTTGGAGCTGTTTTGGAATAAGACACAACGAAACACTGTGTTTGTTTGGGTGTTTTGGGAGGCAGAGAGGGGTGCTGGGAGGGAGGTCCGTTCGAGCATTGGGGCTCGCACAACCAAAACAACAACAACAAAAACAAACATTCACAGTGCTTCCTTGCATCCCAAGGTTTCCTTTCACAGGGTTTCCTTGCACCGAGGGTTTCCTTGCACCGAAGGCGCCAAATACTGTGTACGTTTGGTTTGTTCTAGTCTGGGGGGTGCAGAGAGGGGTGCTAGGAGGGAGGTCCGTGCGAGCATTGGGGCTGGCAAAACCAAAACAACAATAAAACAAAACTACGCAGTGTTTCCTTGCATCCCACACCAAAAAACAGAAACACAAACAACAAACACACATACACAAGGTTTTTTTGCACCGGGAGCGCCGCGAGGAGGAGGAGGAAGAGGAGGGGGAGCAGGAGGAGGAGAAGGGGGAGGAGGAGGAACAGGACGAATCATGCGAAGAATTCATACGTAAAAGAAGCCAGCAGGGAAAGCAGAAGAGGCCGACACAGAACAGAAACAGAGAAAGGTATGATCTTGGGGGGGGCGACCATATATACATATAACGGAGCACCGGGTCTGGGGGCCCAGGGCCGCGACCACGACCGCAAATGTGTGTGCCCAGGCTCTTGGGGCGTCCCTGAGGCCCTCAAAACGCCCCAGGAACGCGCCAAGAGAACCCGAAGACGCCCCCAGACGGACCCAAGACACCCAAAGGCCGCTCCAAGATGCCCACGATCGCCCCCAAGACACCTCCAGAGGCCTCGCAGACGCTCTAAGCAGCCCCCGAGAGGCCCCCCAGGACGTCCCCAACATGCAAAAATAGCCCCATTCCCTGGGCAAAACGTACATTTTCAGCATATTGATTGTTTTCGCTGTCGTACCGTTCTTGACGACATCAGAAGTCCCCAAGACCGCCCCAAGACGTCTCAAGAGGCGCCCCCGAGGGCCCCAAGACGACCCAAAAGAGCCCCAGGACGGCCCAAGAGGCGCCCAAGACCGCCCAAACGGGCCCCCAAAGGCGCCCAAGAGAAGCCCAAAATTGGGAAATCCAATGGACAATTCGAGCTTTCCGCAAAAAGAGGCGCCCGGGAGGCCCCAAGAGGCCCCGAAGAAGCCCCAAGAGGCCTCCAAGAGGCCACCCAGACGCCGCAAGAAGGCCCCACGAGGACCCCCGAGAGAGCCCTGAGAGCCAACAACTACTTATTTTCCGTAGATGTTCGAAGGATTTTGGTCATCTCGCCTTCTCGGGTTCCCGACGCTCGAAAACAGCCCAAGAGGCCCTCAAGATCGACCCAAGGAAGCCCGGTCCAGGAGTCTCTAGCGACGCACGGTGCGTTTTAAACCGCCCGGGAGGCCCCCAAGACGCCCCAAGAGGCTTTTAAGATGCCGCCCAAGAGCGCCCCGACAGGGCAAAATCGTTGATTCCAATTTGTTGTTTTAAAATGTTTTTTGTATTCTCGCTGTTTCGTGTTTCCGGCGCTAAAGCACCGCCCAAGAGGCTCCCAAAACCGCTCCAAGACGGCCAAGACGGCGCATCAGGCGCCCTCAAGTCGGGCCTCCACGCAGCCAAGACGGCCAATGACGGCTTCTGATTGCAGAACATCACCTTCCGGCTGCCCAGAGAACCCGAACAATGCTCACAAGGGGCCCCAAGAAGCCCCAAGACGCCCCCCCAAGAAGCACCCAAGAGGTGCCTCCAACAGCAAGTTGAGGAAGCACGGAGAAACCCCCAGAAGCCCTTCAGATGCCCCCCGAAGACCCAAGAGGCCCTCAGGAGGCACGACTATATCACGCGCCTGTGCTTGATAGCGCTGTCCAAGATCTTCCAGCGCCCCCCCGGCCTGGGCTAGAACTTGCGCGCGCGCGAAGCGCGCGCGATGGTTTTTAGTTTTTATATGTATATATGTACACACTCGCATGCCACATGTAATCCGTCGATATCGATGCGTTTGACGACACCTGTATATATGTATCCACACTTGTGTGTATATATATATATGTTTTCCTCTCTCTCTCTCTTTGTACGCATGTCTATGCATATCGACTGTCTCTCTCCGTGCAAGGAAGCCCGAACCCTCAATCGGGAGCCAGGAAACCCAGCTCCTCACCCAAACCAGCCCGGAATGTGGAATTGGGAATTGAGGAACCCAGCCGCCTAACATGCGTGTTTAGTATGTCAGTCTCCGCCAGAACCTGTTCATTGCAGACACTTTCGAGGAAGATGTTTTTGCCGAATGCTGATCTGTGTTTGCGTATAGATACACAGGGAGCAGCCGTCGGCCCATCCCGCAGCCGCGCCTGGCTTGTCGGCCAGGGGCATCCTGGATGCATCTTGTGATCTCTTGGGAGGCCTCTTGGAAGCTTCTTGGACTCGGTTTGGGATTTCTTTGGGGCTTATTTGGGCCTACATCGATATACGAATTGGTATACTGTTCTCTCTCTCTCTCTTTCTCTCTTTCTCTCTCTCTCTCTCTTTCTCCCTCTCTCCCTCTGTCTTTCCCTCTTCCTTTTTCTGAAAGTTGTTGTGTATGTCTACGGGCTCGCTTTCAATCAGACACCGCAGAACCCGGCCGCCCAGTCAAATTCGGAATCCGGGAACCAGGCTGCCCACCGCAATCGGGACCCAGGAACTTGGGAATTTTGAACAGGGAACCCGGGAATCCGGCCGCCTGCCGAAACCGGCGAGCTACATTTTATTCCATCATCCCGGTATCCGCTAGGACCTGATCAGTGCAAGTATTGATTGGGAAATTCGTGTTGAGATCAGGGGGGCTCGCTCTTGCTTGGCCCTCCTGCCCTGCCACCCTTCCGCGTCCTCCATCTCTTACTGCCGATTTCCCCTCCGCTTTTTCCTATGAGCCCGCCCCTCCCATCCATCCCTCACCCATCCTCTCCTGCTGCTCGTGCGCACGCGTTAACCGCATTGCCTCCCGCCTTTTCTGTCCTCCCTCTCTCCTTCACTTATTCTCCCTCCCTACTCTCTCCTCGCTTCCTCCTGCCTCCTCCGAGGAGCAAGCGAGGAGGCTCGAGGAGATGGCCCGGAAGCTCGAGGACGCCGCGGGAGCTTGGCCGATTTGGCCGCATTTTCTGCAGACTTCGCCTTGTATTGCGAGCGGTTGCCTGGTTCGTTCGCCTCGTCGCCACCGCTGGATTCGCCTCGGAGTTCTGGTCAGAACGCAACCCAGGAGAGGTCCATGGAGTAGCGGTATTGGTGTGTGTTAGTGCCCTCAGGGACCAGGGTTGCGCCGTGGGTATTCGCGAGGTGAAAGAGGGAGAGGAGGACGGGAAGGCGTAGGGAGGAGGTGGAGGAGAGTCCTCCTCCTCCTCCTCCTCCTCCGGCCGCCTGGGACTTTGCCGTCACGTCTGGGCTGCGCGCCGATCTCCTCACCATGTCGACCGCTTCGTGCAGCGCGGCGATGGGGGCGCGACCACATATCTGCGTTAGAAGTGGTCGGCCCTGACTGCGAAGGCCTGACAGCCGGGGCCGCCGACCCTGAGGAGGACGACGTCGGCGACGAAGTGGGCGGAGACGGAGGCCGTGGAAGATGATGAAAGGGAGGCGAGGAGGAGGGGGAGGAGGAGGAAGAGGAGACAGAGGAGACAGAGGAGGAGGAGGAGGAGGAGGAGGAGGAGGAGGAGGAGGAGGAGGAGGAGAGGAGGAGGAGAAGGAGGAGGAGGAGGAGGAGGAGTGTGGAGGTGGAGGTTGCAGGAGGGGAGGAAGAGAGGGGAGGAGGGGGGAGGAGGAGGAGGAGAAGGAGGAGGAGGAGGAGGACAGGAGGAGGAGGAGGAGGAGGTGGAGGAGGAGGAGTGGGAATGGGAATGTCTGTTCACTAAGTGAAAAAAAGGAAGAAAAAAGCCTTATCCCAGGGAAGTATCCTTCCGAGCAGAGGCCAGCCGATTCTGTTGTTCGGTCTTACTCAACACTTTAGGTTGAAGGCCCAGCTCTATTCTACGAAGGTACTCGGTTCCCGTGGATGAGGCCTTAAGACTACATTCTTTGTGAAGGTTACACTTCCTCTGACTGGCACAACTACCGCAGACATGACAGAACCATAACTGAAGCTTAGTACATAGTCTCATACTGTGGCTCTTATGGACCCAGCCCCCCCCTATGTGAATATTGTCTTCAGCCCCGAGGGTGAAAAAAGAACCGTTTATATTCACAGGGTGAAAACACGGGCTGGCCTTCCAGAGGCCTGCGGTGGCCAGGGAGGCAGTACCAAAACACCTGGTGCAGCTCTTGCCGCTCTCCGACAAAACATGGGAGGTAGTGAAATTAACTACAACTGACTTAGCAGGAGGTGGGGGAGGAGGAGGGAGACGCTTTCCTCTCAAATGTCCAGCTCCTGCACGTACACTGTCCAGAGCAGCATGCAGTAGCCGATGTCTGAGAAGGTACGTTTCATTCTCCAGAACCTGTATACGATGTCGAACTCCTGAATCCAATCGAACTTCCTGCGCCATCAGTCCCACAATCTCATCGATCACTGTGTTGCCAATGATCTGCCACGCTGGGACACGACTTGAAACCATCTGCTCAGCCCCTTGGTGGGAATGTACAAATATAACTTCGATAAGTGATGCACTCTTAGTCTGAAGAATCTGACCAATCATCGCCCAGATGTCAGCATCCTCCCCCTTGGGGTTGAGATACAGCTGGGCGTTCCATCCTTTGAATACATTCTCGCAGTCTGTGATGAATTGCGTATGTCCACGACATGTGAATACACAGAGCCAGAACGCCTTGAGTTCACCTCTCGCAACGGTCTGCCTCAGACCTGCGAGCCCTCCAGCAATTGAACATACAATAATAGTATCATCTAATACCTGGTTGACGACTGCGATGCCGAGCGCTACTCGGCGCAGTCGGGGGTCCGCAGTGTCTGGGCCCCCGCTGGCATCTCCAAAAACTCGCGTCGGTGCACGTTCAGATCCTGCTGGTAAACAATCCGCTGTGAAACCATGACTGAGCCCTTCCACCTGCCAATCATCTGCAAACTGTGGGGACGGTGTGTCAGTCCACGCCAGCGGGATGAGGCCTCGATACCAATAACATGGTTGAGACTCACCTTGACTAGATGCACGAGGGATCATGAAATCGCTCTTGTCATACACAGGGTTGTCTTTGTTAGAGCAACATAACCATGATCTGTGCAAAGAAGTCTCTTCATGCTCCTTACACCTGTCACAAATACCATTCAAGCTCGGGTCCTGGACCGACTGCAAGGGTTTCAACTCAGCCTTCTTCCTTGCTTTGGTCCAGGCTCCTCCGATAGCAATGTTGAGCAACAATCCAGCCAACCGCCTCCCTTTTCCAGGGATACTATTGAGTTGTTTGAGCAATCTGCGATATGAATAGCTGTCGGTTCCATCTTGAAGTCCTTCACCCTCGTGATGTTTGCAAGCGCTGATCCAGAATGGTTTCATCGCCGCCGCACGAAGATCAACATAGAATTCCTTGAAACTAGCCTCATCTATCGCCTCAACGCCCGTGAAGTTCTCGTCGGGGAATTCCCATGCTGTCATGCCTGGGGGGTCCCACGCTGTCGGTGAGCGAGGAATCCAACCAATCCCTAATAGATGACACAGCACTGCAGAAAGAGGTCCTCGTATATACCTTGATCTCTGCGCTTGAGGTATAGCTTCCAATTTCTGGCGAAGACGAGGCCATGATCGAATGATGCCCGCTCGGGACTCGGGCCGTGTACGCCAGTTGTGCAGCCACAGCGCGAAGGTACCTTGAATGAAACGTGCTGCGGGGTCTTGGCCGTGAGCTTCCAACTCGAGAAGTGTCGTGAGACACCGTCCCCTGCCCCGCGCATTACAAGCAGCGCCCAGTCGACGTCGATATCGAGTGAGCTCCTGTCCACATACTCCGAAGATCTCATATCCATAACTACCTGCAGCTTGGGCGCCCTGGCGCTCCAGTCGAGAAGTAATCGCTGTCCTACGAATAACCTTCTTGTACTTGACCACCTTCCTGTGACGATTGAGGTGCCGTGCAGCGCGCTTCCGTCGTTCAGCTCGAGAATGCCTAACTCCTGCTCCCAGGTCGACGCCCAGGTAGCTGGTAGATCTGGCCGCCGTCATAGTGATCCCCCGAAGTCTCAAGGTTCGAACCACATCCCTGGCCAGACTCAACTTGGTGCAGACCACTGTCGACTTAGATGCCACCTTGAGACCCTGACTGTGGAGGCCTCTGGCGGTCGCAGCCACGCACTGAACTAAATCCTTCTTGACCTGGGACTCCGACCCCATCGTGGTCTGCGAGATATCGTCTATCCAGAGTCGGTGCGAGCACCGAACTTGCGATGTGGTGATCACCTCCATGATGAAAAATGTCATCGCTCTGGCCAGTCTAGTACCAGCTCGCAAGCCTTGAATGATACTACATGTCGGCTCGAACGCCATCGAAAAGGAACCAATCTGATTGAGTGTGCGCGGATGGGCGCATTGTAATAGCTCCATGTACAAGATCGTGGGTGGGAAGCCCAGTCTGAGGGCCGCTCTGGAAAGCTTGAGCCACAGCATATTATCGTAGTAGCCGTCAATGTCGGTGAGGGCGTGTCCATACGATACATTGAGGATACCCGCGACCTCCTCATCCAAGGCTCTCCTGAAAGCCTCCCTCAAGGACGAGTTCCCACGGACCGCTGCGTCCCACGAAGGCTCAGTCCGACTGGACCACGCCTTGGACCAGGGCTCCCTGGACATACTCCATACCCTGGATAACATCGTGATGAGCCCGATCACCCTGTCTCCCGAAATCTTTTTGGGTAGAAGTCGACCGATGACTATCATTGTCTGCACTGGCCAGGCGAGGAACTCCTCGGCTGTGTTGAATAGGGTAGCTAATTCAGCAACTCCTGCATCTGGGAGTCGCTCGATATCACATGGTGTGAGTTGGTCCGCTCCAAGACCAGCACGAGGTTTCATGGCTCTGAGAGCCTTGCGAACTTCAGGGACACAGGCCTCGTCGCCGTCCTCCCGAGCGGTCCCGTAGCTTTCCCTGGACGCGGCCCTCCAGTCGAAGTCGAGGTGCTTCCAGTTCGTCCGTCTGTCCGCCCACGAGCGCAGCCGTGGGGCTGCTACGTAGGGCAACTTGCCCAGGAGATCGACCGTGGGGCCGTCTCGCGGGGCGTCGGTCTTCCCAGCAGGTGCCGTGGGGCTGTGCTGCTGGGGTCGGTTGTGGTTGTCTGGCCAGCTGATGTCGAGTCTGGCTCTTCGTCGGTCGTTGTGGGAATGTCAGTGCTGGTTGTCGTCGGTCTTCTCGTGCGGGTGCTCAGACGTAGCTGCCGTCGGGGACCTCGCACGTCTTGGTGTTGCTGGAGTCTTGGCTGTGACGATTGGCGGCTGCTCGTTGGCGTGTTTCCTTCTCGCTCGTACCACGTAGTCTGCTCGTGACCTGGGTGGTGGTGGTGCACACTGTTGTTCGAGCTTCTCCGATATGTAGTGGCGCGCCACGCTTCCGCATTTGTAGCAGTAGAAGCCTTGGTCACGTTTGTGCCATTCCATCTGGTGGGGGTAGTGGGCGCAGCGTCCTTTGAGCGTCCGAAGTGGTTTCTTTGTGGCTGTCGTGTTACCGCATGGCGAAAGTAATCACCACCTTGCTGTCGTGCTGCGTCGTCGTATGGCTGACTGTGCGCAGGTTCTGCATCGCCAGCCTGTCCGAGTAGGTTGGACTTGATGTTGGCTCTGAGCGGCAAGTTCGTCGAGGGTGGGTGCTGGTGGTCTTCGAAGTTTGGCTTCTTTCCTTAGCTGTGCTCGTTCTTCCCAGCTTATTGGTGGTCGTCGTTCCATGCAGTCTAGAGTGGCGTGTGTGATGCGCTGTCTGACTAGGTTGCCAACTGCTCGTGCCCACTCGTAGCACCCGAGTTGTGCTGCTGGTAGTGCATGCTCCTCTGCTGCTGCGTCTGCTTGCTCGTCTGCTGCGCGGTTGCCGTGCCATGCCCATTCTGGAATGTCCCGTCGTCGAGCGTCTTCCCAGTCGAGGTGGCTTTGCATATGTCGTATCGTGATGCAGTCGTCGCTTCCTCCCCGTTGGTCGATGGCGTCCTTGACCATCTTCCAAATGTCGCCGTTGCCGAAGTGGTACTTCTTGGTTCTGTGTCGCTTGCGTCTCCAGCCCTTGAGAAGTACCTCTGAATATGTCCAATAGATGATGGGACCCCGCGAATTCCGTAAAACGCTGAGTAGTGTCCAAATCTCTGTTCGGTTATTCGTCTGCCTTGGTCCTGGTAGTGGTCCTCGCATAGTAGCTCGAATTGTTGTGCCGTTCATGCATGCCCATCCCCGTCCGCACCGTCGGTACCGTCGGTCTCCTGACATGGCCCCTCCGCTGCCGTCGCGGCAGAAGTGTAGTGGTACATCGTCTGCAACCAGTTGGCCGTGCTGGATGTCGCCGTCGCAAGTTTGGGATGGTTCCGTCGTGCATGGTGGAGGGCAGGTCATGGGTCGTGGTGTGATGCCTCTGAGCCAGAAGGCTGCGTTCGTTTCGATGCCTTCTTGTGCCCGTTCTTCGAGGTGTTCGGTACGTTCGTAGATGATGTGCTGTCGTCTCTGCGGGCAGTCTCCCCAGATGCGGTGGTAGTCGTCGTCAGGTGCTCCACATTCGCATACATTGGGCGTGCCGTAGGCGTCGGCGATGCGCTGTCGTGGCCATGTCCCAGCGCATGCGGCCGCTAAGAGTGCCCCGTGTCGTTGGTGCTTGCCCCGTCGGTCGAGGTACTGGAGGTGGCTGATGAGGTCTTGCACGTCTGCGCCGTTCTCGAGGCCGATGCCGTTGTGGTGCTTGCTGGCTTCCGAGAAGTCCCGCCGCCTTCTGAGAAGGTTTTCTCGAGGAGGAGGAGGAAGAGCAGGAGGAGCAGGAGGGGGAGGAGGAGGAGGACAGGAGGAGGAGGAGGAGGAGGAGGATGATGAGGCCCACGGGGCGGAGTCGTATCTGACCCCCCCCCACCCCCCCCACCCCCCCTGGACCCCCCCCCACCGGGGGAGGGATCAAAGGAAAGGGTATCCCTTTGACGTGGCTACGACGTGGGTCGATTGCACTGCAACGACGACGACGACGACGACGACGACGAACGGCACAGCCCCTCACACACGCCGACAGGTAGAAGTGGTCGGCCATGATTTGATCGCCACGACGCAAGGGTGTCTCAGGGTCTCTTCGGACGGGGCTGGGACGAGGATGAATCCGTTCCAGAGCGTTCTGGACCGCTCTCAGAGCGTGCGGGAACCCTCTGAGAAGGCCGCGGTGCCCGAGGCAGCCTCCGGAACCGCTGGATCTGAGAGATTATCGATTTATCTTCGCGCGATTTTATCATCGTTCTGGCTTCGTCTTCCGAGGGGAAGAGGAGGACCAGGAGGAGGAGGAGGAGGAGGTCAGGGGTCAGGGGCTAGGGGGATTTCTCGTCCTGGCTTCGCCTGATCTCTGGCCGCTGCCAACTGCGCAGCCGTCGGCACTCGTTCTGGAGCAGCCGAGGCAGCCCGGGCGGGGGTTGGGGGACGTTGTCTGGGCCAGCGCGGACGCGGGGGAGGAGGAGGAGGAGGAGGAGGAGGAGGAGGAGGAGGAGGAGGAGGAGGAGGAGGACAGGATGGAGGAAGGAAGGATGCCGAGTCAGCCCGAGGGGGGCGTTCGCTCTGGGCCAGCGTGGGGCGTTTGGTTTTTTTAGGCGGCCCCCCCCCTAGCAAGGGAGGGGAGGGAGAATCCTCCTCCGCTCCGTCCTCCTCCTCCTCCTTCCTCCTCCCTCCGTTCCCTCCTCACTTTACTCCTAGCCGCAACCTCCCCCCCCCCCCCCCCCCCGAGTTCAACCAGCGCCGCCGGCCCGAGGCAATGTGGAGGGCTGGGGAGGGGCGCCTCCGTTCCCCTACACCACCAGGGCGCAGGGAAGGGGGGGTCGGGGTTTTAGAGCTGCACATCATTCCCCCGCACCTCTCATCTTCCTATTACTGTACTCATGCGTATCTGCACGTTTAACCCTCTCGCAAGCAACTACACGGACCGCCTAGACGACATATCGGCAGAGCTGCAGTCCTGGGACATCATTTTGCTAAACGGCACACAAAAGAAGGCACTCAGCGACCAAGCAACAGAAAGACAAGTACACCTTCGGCATTGAAGCATACAGTTTGGCTACAAGAAAGGAAGACTAGTTAAGTCTAGCTGTGGCACTTGCATCTTCCTCACGCATAGAATTCGAAGAGAAGCATTGCATAGCGTCTTTCTTCCACCCGCAGGCCTTCAAGGGAGAGTTGCAGGTATTCGGATACAAGATAAGCACATGGACTTCTCGATTTTAACGTATACTTCGCGGCTGTACATGACAAAAAACACATCGAGATCGCGAAGAAGTTAACAGAGTGGATTGAGGAGCAGATCGACCGAGTACCGACACGCACTACCACTGTGATCGCTGGAGATATCAACTCGGACGTAGGCTTGTACAGGGACGGCGACGGCATTGTTACAGTAGACAGAGGCAGACACTTTGGAGGTATAGCGCCTGGCCTGGAGAACTCACATGGGAAGCACTTTCGAGAGCTATGCATCAGGAGCGAGCTGGGCATATGCGACACGTTCTTCCCGACAGGGCCAACCTTTTACGGGCCCAAAGGCGGGGGCAGCAGGATTGACCACATTGCTATTACGGCAGGGACACGACCTTTTATCAATAATTGCTCCTGCCCCCATGGTCCAGCTAAGCGCCTCCAAAGCAGACAAGCACGCGGGCACCGCGATCATCTACCTCTAGGTCTAGAAACTACCGTCACCATCTATGATCATTTGAAGCCTGTCAGGGAAGAAAATGTGGACAGAGATGGGCTCATGAAGTGCCTGCGGAAGGGATGGAAGAGGAGAGTGTTGTACGAGGAGGTCGACAAGAGGCTGCAGGAGAAGGAGGAAGAGTGGAAAACAGCGTTGCAACAAACATGGCCAGACGATGCTTGGAAACTATTCGTAGATGCTGTAGGAGGTGCACTAAAGAAGGTCTTTCCGGAATCTGAAGTAAGGACGGGCGAGCTTACGACGGCAGCAAAGGCAGAAAGAATGCGCCTACTTCAGCTCCGACGAGAATGCAGAGAAGGTCTGAGGCCAGAGCTTGACGAGTGCGAGGTCGAGTCCATAAAGAAGCAGCTACAAGAGTGTTCGGCGGCATTAAAAAATCAGAAAAAAACAGAACTTGAGCGCAGGCGCGAAGCAATCGTGCAGGAGATCTGGGAGGCGTATGAGTCCAGAAACTTCGCACTCATGCACCGTCTCCGGGTGAAGTATCAAAACAACGGAAGGGGCCCAAAGAAAAAACATATTATTCACCGCAGCGTTTCTGGGACGAGCACACGTGGTACGAGGAAATGGGGAAAAAGGCCGAAGAAGGAGGCATGTCTTGTACAAAGCTCGACTTGCAGCACAGCTGGGAAGCATATATAGCATCACATGTCGGAGAAGAGCTTCTTCCAGACGACGATGATATACAGTATCTGGCACGACAAGACAAAAAGGCCATGAACAAATACCTTGCCAAAGCGAAGAAGAGACGTGCCTACCCCCCTGGGGGCTACCGGTTGAGGCCTCGCTCCTTATCCTCGACACAAACATCAACATGAACAGCCCGCAGAGAGAGAGAGAGAGAGAGCGAGAGATGGGAGAAGAGGAAGATCAGGGCAGCAGAGCAGGAGGAGGACGAGGAGGAGCTAGCAAAGTTCACCACATTGCAGAAGTACAAAGTCGGCCGCAAGCTACTTGAGAGAAATGGGCTGGAGCCAAGGCGAAACGGTTGGAAAGAGGCAGAGAGAAGCGTCACTTCGAGAACCAGCCGAGATCATAGAGCCAGCCTGGACAAGCCACGGGACTACGAGGGCAGGAGTAGGGGCGAGTCCGACCTTTTCAGAGAAAAAGTTATTCGAGATCAAGTTGGACGAACTACTAGTGCATATCCGAAGAACCCAAGAAATGCCCCTAGATACTAACAGGTCCTTGGCTTTCGACGCATCGAAGGGGAACGGCAAAGCAGGGATAGCAGGGAAGAGGGTCATGCATGCTTTTTGCAGCTTAGGGATGGGGTGGCATTACGGCATTCATCTACGTGCTCCTTTTCGACCGCGCCCACATTGGGCGCAAGGAGGACTACCCGCGCGTTCTCGAGAGAACGCATTGTTGTGCCTGCTGGGAAGCAAGTGGAGGGCGGAGGAGGGAGGGGCGTCGATCGTCGTGAGCAATTACGATTGTACTAATGCTTTCGCGGCGACCGACAGGAGGATCCTTTCCGAGGTTGTCGCGAACCAGGCATGTGAGCAGGACAAGCATTAGCGGTCGTCCACCAGTCGATGTCGATCAGAGCGAGAGACGGCCTAGCACACCTACAGAGTCACGCAGGTTCGCACATGGGATTTACTCTGGCACCCAGGGATTTTAATGATGCGTACAATGAGCACATAGAGCAGTGGGAGGAGGGAGGGCACGAACATGGTCACCACGAACTCCTAGAAACAAAACATCCGCTGACGGACGAGTACTACAACTTTTCGTTAAACACGTTCATGGACGACGTCACCAAGATACATGTAATCACCGCAGGAAGCAGTGCTGAATACATCACCACGTTCCTTAACGAGTCGACCGCACGCCTAGAGAATACGATAGCTAAGGGTGGATGGTCACTAAATGCTGGGAAGACTAATCACTTGATAAATCTTCGTGGGAAGGGCAGCTACCAGGCGACCAGACGATTGAGACGATCAAAAAAGTTAAAAGGGGCCGCCTGTCGTGAAGTACGCGTCCTAGGCCCGCATATTCCAGCAGAGCAGGGACTACTTGGTGACATGTCTAGACGTTGTTCAGCAGCGAAGATGGCATGGCGTCAATGCGGAGCGTTTTGGAAGGCACGAACGAGGAGAGCAGTAAAACAACTTATGTCCGAGGCCTTCGTTATAGGAGCAGCGCTGAGCGGCTTGAACGTGTTCGTCTTAAACAAGACCCACACCGGCATTATTGATTCTACGTTAGCTAAGTTATTGCGTAGCCTAGCAGAAGGTAAGCTAAGCTGGAAAAGTGAAGACGGCGAAACAAGATGTAGCAGCACGAAGGAGGTCTTTAAGTACTGGCAGTTCAACGACGCGGCTACTACACTGAGAATTAGAAGACTGCGCATGTATCAGACCTGGGCAAAAAACCCTGTTGAACACTGTGGAGTACTCTCCGCTGTCATTGGAGATTCGCGACTAGACGAGTTACACAAAAAAGACCTAGGCTTACCCCAGCAAAGTTCGCGTGGCCGCAGGAGAGCAGTGAGAAGTCGACGCCCTGGGCAGTCCAGCTTCGAGAAGACATGAACAGGCTGGCCGAAGTCGACGAGAGCATGCACGCGTGGTCCACGAGCAGGAAAAGCGATTTAGACATCTTCATACCCGGCACAGAAGCACATGATAGATGGCCACTTGCTGACCCCCATGTTCTAGGAAGTAAGAAAAACACAGTAAGCATAGGACCCAAGCAAGAAGAGGAGGAGGATAGCAACGAGGAGGTTACCCTGGAGGAGCTCGAGAAACCTTTCTGGTGCGACTTTCAGGAGGATGGAGGATGCATATGTGGAAAGAGGTTTGCTAGCATGAAAGCTTTAAAAGGGCACCTTCGGGAAGCGCACAACCAAAGAGAAGTATTATCAAAAGTTGTCATCGCTAACCAGTGTCCGTGGTGCCTCTCCTGTTTCTCAACAAGACGTATTGCATTGGACCACTGTGTACGTTCTTGCTCGCGCGGGATTTGCCATCGAGACAAGTCCAGATGGGCGCATGAAGTTATTCCCCCAGAGTCTCTGGTCTGTAGCATTTGTGACCAAGAATTCCCTGATCTTGGCTGCTTCCAAGCTCGCGCCAGATTTCGCCACGTTGGACCAGACCACGTTCGAGGACAGAGCGATGTCTGGAGCGGCAGCGAGCTGGAAGGTCCAAAAAAGAACCGCAGGCGACGCGCCAGCCGAGAGAGACAAAAAACAGGCAAAGGCGGGAAAGGCAAGGGCAACAAGGAGGACGACCTCGTCCAGGCGGTGATGGCGCTCCAGAAGCTCTGCCTGAGGACGGCGGCCGAGGGCCGCGACCTGACCAATATCGTCGGGGAGTTCTGGCTCGTGCCCTCGGATCGCGATGTCATCAAGACCGCCAAGGAGACGGGCGCCGACTGCGCCAGTCGGGTCAAAACGATCGGAAAAGGCCACGGCCTCGGGCCCCCCTACTTGCACGTCGCCTCGGAGGTGCTGGGCGCGACGAGGGACAGCCTCGACCCAAGCGTTCCCGAGGAGCAGGAGGCCAAGATCATCGTCGACGCTTGGACGACGATGGCGGACAACGCGGACTACGGCCGAGCCTTCGTGAGCGAGACCATCAGGATGTTCAGGGTGAGCGACGCGCACAGGAAGGACGACGAGATGGAAGGGCCCGACCACCAGGGCAAGCTGATGTTCGCCCTTTCACCGCACTTCGACCTGATGACGGCCCTCAAGATGGAGAAAAAAACGATCGCCCCGCCCGCGAAAGAGTTCCACGCCGAGAAGTTGCTGCAGGCCATGGGGGTGGCGTTGCGCAAAGCGGGCGGGGCGAAACCGATCGGCAGCGGGCCGAAACCGGAGCTGGACCGAGTGGTCGAGCGCCAGCTGAAGGCGCTGCAGAAGAAGTGAGCACATCCGTAGCGCAGCTGAGAGCAGAGCCAATCGCAAGAGTGGCAACGGACCCTGCAGCCATGACGAGATTGAGAAAGATGGCGACCGAGGGGTCGTCGCATGCGGCACGAATGCTTAGTGAGGCGCAGAGTTTTAGACGCAGGCTCAACGAAGCGTTGAGAGCAGAAAATAAATAAAGCAGTTTTCGACAGAGAGTTTTTTTCAGAGAGGGCCCCCCGACCCAGCGGAGGTGGCGCGCAGCCACCGAGCGGCAGCCGCTGCCGCCACCCTGTCTCTCCTCCTCTCCCCCCCCTCGGAGAGCCTCCTCCCTCCCCTTCCTCTTCCTCGAGGTGCCAGGGGGCCGCGACCCTCCCAAGGAGCTCGTGACAACCCGCCGCCGGGATGGCATGGGGTCCGAGGGGGGGATGCGTGCACTCTGCAACGAATGCGGGTGCCTTCCCGCTCGCAGGAGCACCCTCCCCGCCCACAGGGGCAAGAGGGTCGCTCCGAGCACGCGCCCACGCTCCAGACGCATGGTGTAAAGGGACGCGCGAGACACCCATGCAGGGGTGCGGCACTCGCGGCAAGAGAGACGCATCAGACACCCCCAAGCGCAGAGCCAGCCAGCCAGCCAGCCTGCTGCTCCTCCTCCTCTTCCTCCTGCTCCTTCCGTAGCCATTTTGGCTCAGGATCCCAATGTTGGCGGGCACAGCGCCCGCAGGCTTTTCACGGGAGCTGCTAGTCCGTAGCCCGCTCTCGATCTTTCCTTCCATCTACTTTTACATTTCCGCTGCATTGCTGCTGGGTGGTGCTGCAGCCTCGCGCCTGCTTGCGGACGAGGCGGCCTGCTCGTGCACGCTGCGCCTCGGAAGATGCCAGAGGCCGCCAAACGTCGCGACCGTTCTCCACGAGGAAGTCCGGGAGAAGCTCAGGACCCTTGGGCAGACGTCGCACAACAGAACAAGCTCGAGGCGTTCAAGTCCGAAATGGAGCAGCTCCTTGCCAAGCAGGTCGCCGACGCCACCGTCCAGTTCCAGGCCACAGCCGAGAAACTATGCGCGCAGGCCCAGACTGGTTTCCTCGAGCGCGCCATCGCCGATGTCGCCTCAGCAGCGCATGGCCGCATCCGAGACAGAGCGCAATGACCTCAACGCAGCTGTCGACAAGCTCAAGACCGCCATCTCTCAGGCAGAAGCTCAAGTACCTTCCATGGACATCAGCAACCTCGTCACGTGGGACCGACCTGGGCCCATCGGCACGTTCTGGCGCGGCTCCACGGTGGACATCACTCAGGCTGCCCTCGAAGCCGCGACTGCTGACTGGTTTGCGGCAGCTGGCGTCGATGCTTCCATGGTGCGCTACAACAGCTCCGCTCCATCGAAGAGAGTATCAATCACAGTACTCGGAGGGGGCGCTGTCGCCATTCCGCGCGCTCAAGCTCTTCACCATCGCCTTCGCATTGGTCGGGATTGGCGATCGTTCACGCTCCAGAACCCCGACAGCGCCCCCGTTCCGGTCTACGCCAGCCCTGACAAAAGCACCAAACTCGTCAGGCAGGAAATCCAGCTCAAGAAGCTCGCCAAGATCATCACGCAGGCCAAGCCGACGCTCCTACTCGAGGTTCGTCGCGCCGACGGCTACCTCTTGATCGACAGCCCATCGCCCGCCTCATCGTCGGTGAGAGGCCAGAACTGGCCACCATGGTGCAATGGTCTGATGCTGTTGAATCTCATGGTCTTACTCCTGCCATGCGGTCCTCCTACTCTGACGCCCTCGCCGCCGGTTTCGCAGATGCAGCTGCCGCAGCGTCGTGGCTTTGGCAGCCGCTGGACGCCCTGGGCCGCCTCAACGTCTTCGGTTTCCCCCGAGTGTTCGGTGGTCAGCTGGGGTGCTCAGGCGCTGAACCACAGCAATCTCACCAAGCGGGGCGTCAAGCTCTCCATACTCATGCCCTGCTTGGCCAGGCACTCCCTCATTGCCTTGCATGAGACTCACGGCAACGCCCTGATGCTGAAGACCATGGCCAACTCCACAGGCGCCAAGTACGACATTTTCCACAGCGGCACCCCTGGCAACAACTCCGCGGGAGGCGCGGCGTTCCTCGTCCCAAAGTTTGTCCCCGAGAACGACCGAGACGACCGCGAGCCGCTCCTTAACTTCAACGTGATCGTGCCTGGCCGCATCGCGGAGCTTCGGATCCAAGACCCTCTTCGACAATACGAGCACGTCTATTTCAATGTTCATAGCCGCGACCTTTCTGGCAGCGACCATCGGCTCCTGAAAACCGCGTGGCAAGCGGCGCTGGCAGCGGCACAGAACGCTCCTGAGCACGTGATGGTCTTCATGCTTGGCGATTTCAGCATCTCCGAGCTGCCTGCACGGGGCCTCCTTCGTCCTGTTGGCGCTCCTGCTCACGAGCGATGCCAGTGCCAGCCCTCCTTCTGGAAGCAGCTCTTCCGCCCGATGGTCGAGATATGCGCGCCATCCACGACTTCGCAGGTGCTTCGTCAACAACTCCGAGTCCAGCATCGACCGCTTCGTCGCCTCGTTCCAGGCGCGCAACCTCCCGCACATCGAGACGGTTGCGGTGGTTGACGACTCCCCACTCGAGCGCAAAGGCGAGCCCGCAAGCGACCGCGAGCTACTCCATGTTCGATTTCGCCCACGTGCTCAGCGACCTCCTGCTGAACGTGGGATGCCGGCGTACCTCTTCAAGTCCTCCGTCTGCCAGGAGTTCATCAACCAGTTCGTCGACGACGCCGACTTTGTCGCCCTCGCCCCCATCGGCAAGTGGCGCGCGCTCAGGGCCAACATGGCAAACGCTGCTGCAGAAGTTCGAGACGCTCTGGCTCATCTATCTCCCGAAGTTCTTGCCGCTGTTCACTCCGAGATCTCCGGAGAAGTGAACTCGATGGCGATGCGCAGTATTGCTCGAGCGATTTGGTTCCAAGACGACAAGCCGGCAAAACTGCTGATCTCCGGCGCCCACCTCGGCGCCGCGCACTCGCAGTTGAAGTGCGACGTGGGCGCCGCCGTTCCGACCGTCAAGATCTGCCTCAACGACGACAGCGGCTTCGCCGCTGCCGCTGCTCAAGCCCGCGCTGCAGTTGCTGAAGAAAGTCGTGCTCATGCTGCTGCCCGCGCTCGAGAATCCTACCTGCGACTACAGCGACGGCAAGGCGACAGGTGGCGGTCGCGAGCGAGCGCCGCGCGTCGTCGATGGGGAGCTCTGGAAGCCCTTCGCCAAGCGCCTGGTACCTGCTGGCATTGGCATCTCTCAGGATGATCCTACTTGCGTCACCAAGTCGCCGACCGACATGCACACCGCGATCATTGCGCACTGGGCCCCGACATTTGCCGACAAGCCCGTCAACATTCCCAACGTGATCGAGTGCCTGGACTCCGTCTTCCCCCAGCGCGACCAGATCGAGCTCCCGACGCCAGATGCTGACGAACTTCGAGCTGCAGCCAAACTTGCTCACGACTCTGCTCCTGGCCCTGACGGACTACCATGCGCAGCTTGGGCTGCTACCCCGGGTAGTTTTGAGATATTGGCCGAGCTCGCCCAGCACGCCAGCAGGGGCAACTCCGCCCCACGCGACTGGAACCACGCGCTGCTGGCGATGTTCCCCAAAGGCGACGAACCTGCAGGAAATGCCGAATGCTTTCGCGCTCCTGACCAACTTCGGCCGCTGGCCATGAAGAATTCCGACGTCAAGATCGTCGCATCTGTCGCCAATCGCAAGCTTCACCCGGTCGTCAAGCAAGTCTCCTGCATCCAGCGCGGCTTCGTTCCTGGACGCCAGTTCCTTAACAACATCGTTGAGGTCGACACCTGCAGCCGCATTCGCAGCATCCACGACCAGGCCGCTGACGACATGCCCTGCTTCCTCAGCGTGGACATTGCAGCGGCGTTCCCAAGCCTGTTCCACTGCTGGCTATGGGAAGTTATCAGGCGCTGGGGAGTCGCAGGCAACTTCCTCACGTTCTTGCAGGCTTCCTACTCTATGCCCGTCGCCTTCCTGGAGATGGGCGGCACGCGACGACCGCTTCTCGTGGCGGAAAGCGGAGTCGCACAAGGCTGCCCGCTCAGCGGCTCGATCTGGGCCCTCGTCTTCGACCCCATCCTACTTGGCATCCAGAACCACTTCTCACATATAGGCCGTGGCATGGCCAGTACTTGTGCTGATGACATTGGCTGCGTTCTTGGCCGTTTGAAAGACATGGCAGGCCTCTCCGCGCGCGCCCATGCTGCCGCTGCATGCGCAGTGCTGCGTCTTCAACCTCGCAAGTGTGTGCTGGTGCTTGTCTGGACCGACCGATGCTCCGACCACGACGGCTTCATCCGCGACATGCCCAAGGAGATCAACGACGACTGGGCCCTCTTCAAGATCGATGGCAAGGCCAATTACCTCGGTGTCTACATTGGCCCGTGTGCTGATGATCGCGCTCAATGGGCTGCTCCCGCTGTCAAATTGTTTCGCCGCTCGCAGATCCTCGGGGGCGCCTCCTCCGCCATCCAGCAAAACATCTCGATCTACATCGGCCGTCACTTGCCTCACTCATGTTGGCCAACTATTCCTGCTCCCGAACTCGTGCCCACAGGAAATTCACGCGCTACACAAAATCATTCGATCTGCCCCGCCGGCCTTCACCAAGCTCGACATCCTCGGCATGGAGAACTGGGCTGGGTGTGCCGTGCCCACTGGAGTTGAAGTGCTGCTTGGGGCGACGCTCTGGCGCTCGGCTACGTATTCGATGCGCGTCTGGTCTCAACTTCAAGAGCTTCACCATCATGCCGCCGAAGACGCTCTTGCTATGGTTGTCGTCGTGCAAGGGAAGTGGAGCGCTGCCTGCTGGGCCGCCCCCATCTCGATCGCCCGGCACCTTGCCGCTGCGGCAGACGGAGCCAACTGCCCGACGCACAAAAGGCTCCATCTTCAAGGCCCTAGCCCGCAGGCTGCAGAACGAACAACAAGCCCACCGCCTTTTACGCCGTGCTCACGACCTTGCGCGTG